TTCTACGTTATTATTCTAAGCGTCTAGAGACGGTACTGTTGCAGAGCCCCTCGGCAGCACCCTTCCTTACGCCTCAAAACCGAAACGCAATAACGTTTGGCGTAAACTCACGTTGACACTTGTGACAGGAGTGGATAAGGTGGCAGTACTGCCCTGGACCGACTCTTTCGCAGGAAGGTTTACTGCTACTAAACTGGTCCGCTGCTTTTTTCGTTCCCTTCATTGTTAAGACTCAATAAAAGTGTGCCGACGTCTATATATCCTCTGGCTCGTTCGTCAAACTGAGGCGGTCTCCGTGTGCAGGCGCTGCGCGCAGACCCCGCACCGGCCGAGGAAGCGGAGTTTCTGCGCGAGGGCTGCGCGCTCGCAGCTCTCCAGCATCCGCACGTGGTGCGATTACTGGGAGTGTGCGCGGCGGACGGGCCCCCGCTGCTGCTCATGGAGTACGCCTTCTTCGGCGATCTGCTGCGATACCTGCAAGAACGAAAGCATCTGGCCGAGTTGGCGGCGACGGTAAACGACCTCGACTCGCGCACCGATCTCGTAGGTGATCGCGAGGTGACGGCGACCGCCGAGCCCGAAGCCACTCACGTATCGGCGACGGCACTGACACGGCTGGCGAAAGAAGCTGCCGAAGCGTTGGCCTACCTGGCGAAACGCCGCTACGTGCACCGCGACGTGCGCGCCGCCAATTGTCTCATCGATGCGAAACGGACGCTCAAGCTAGCAGATTTCGGTAAAGGACATACCTTTGCGTAAATAGGTGTAGTTGGCGAAATATTATTTGCACCGATTCGTCTTATCACTTCATTTATAAATACAAAAGAGTGAGCCGTCTCGGTACGCACGTGCCATCTGTATAGCGTAAACAACTACTTTAAACACTTTTACGCGTTGGCACTTAATTCAAAACTCGATAGTTTTTATGCGGAAGTACTTACAAGTTTTAAAAAATGACCAGATGGGTAAAAAAATAAATCAAAATTAGAATTCAGAAAAAGCATCAGCGCACACATGACGCGTACGGTGGACCACGATCATTAAGTTCACGAACGCCTTGAGTAAAAGAAGTGTTAATGGTTTTATTACAGTATTGTAATAGAAAGGATAAGATATTCCAAGAGATAACATTCATCAGTGCAAATAATTCTTCATCTATACGTTCAGAAGCTAAATATACACGTCACCCACAGGTCTCGCACGCGCCACGAGCTCTGAGCACGATACAAAAGAAGACAAATCATGTGACTTGACCCACGCGGAGGAGTCATACGCATACATCTGTCGGCGGCGCGGCGTATTCCCCGTGCCGTGGATGGCTCCCGAGAGCCTAACCAGTGGCGTGTTCTCCGCCGCGTCAGACGTGTGGGCGCTGGGCGTGCTAATGCTGGAACTGGCCACTCTGGGCGCGAGGCCTTACGGCGCGTGGCGTCCGCCCAAGGTGCTGCGGTTCGTGCGCGACGGTGGAAGCCCGCCGCTCCCGCGCGACGCCTCCTATCACTTGTGAGTGCCAGCGCCAACAGAATCTTTCCTATCAAAATATCCCAAGATTACACTGAATATAAAGATGGAACCGAGAGACAATAGGATCACGATTTCGCACCCCTCATGGAAGAATGGCATAAGAGGGATTACGTCAGAAACGTTTATTGCTCCATTAGATACAGAAAAATATAAACCACATTTTCTCCAATTCTTGTAAATCTATCGGCTGATATTGTAGATAGAGTTACAAGAATTGGAGAGGATGTGGGTTATATTTTTCTGTAATAAACAAGTTTGACATAACTCCATTTATGTCATTCTTCAATGAGGGGTGCGATTTGTCGTTTCGATGTAATTTTCAATACTGTTCCTCGCATCAAATACATACATAGGCATATGCTGATACATTATAATTATGATTGACAAGTGGCTATACTTCACTTCACGCCCCTTGCGAAAAAACATAGTACAAAATAACATTTTATTTAGGAAATGAAACTATTATATATTTGTTTTTTCAAACAAACCAACGTTTCGGGCCCTTTACAGGTCCCATGGTCACGGTTGACTGAGCTGGTACAGTCGTCAACCAGTTATGTCTAATATTAATGCAAACCACCCTATTTTTTCACGATAGTTACAAAATTTATTAATTAAATACCTTATTTTTAATTTTACAAAGAAACATTCCAATTTACGCTACATTGTTTAACAAATTATTTTATTGTAACAATATGAATTTTTATTAAGTTAAATTTATTATTAATTAATAATGGAAATTAGAATAAATTAAAACATATAAATTAGTAGGTACTGCAGTCTTATGTCTGTTTGAGATTTTCCATCAGAGGAAATACTGGATCCCAAACTGGTGGTACGGAGAAACCATCTTCCCTCATATTTTTTTTTATTTCAATGGCCTCTCGCAGCATCCTAGGTAGATAACGGACTACTTTTGCAAGTACCTGGGGTTTGTCAAACTTCATTGAATGTATAGGTTTATCCATGACATGCTCGCAGACTGCAGACTTGTTAACGCGACGGTGTTTGACATCAGCTACATGTTCTTTGACGCTGGTACAAATACTTCGTTTCGTTTGTCCCATATAAAAGAGAGACCGCACTCACAGTCAAGCTAGTAAACTCCTTCATCCTGTAAGGGGATGTTACATTTCACGGGTCTCAGGAACAGGTACATAATCGAATTCACCTAAGTGTAAAGTAACCTTTCTTTCTTTTTTTCTTTTAGTTTACTTTTTACAGTGTTACTTTTTGCATCATACAGTGCCTTTTGCAGTCCGTATTTAAGTCGACAGATAGTCATAACATAAACAATAACACAAGAAGAAGCCTACACGCTTTACTTACTTGGTGCATAGGATTGTCACGTTAGTTGTGGGTACTTACAGGTTACCTTTAAACATAATTTGAAAAAGAATAAAGTGTTCATCACAGAATTCTATTGAAATAACTTTTGATAGATGTATTATTTTTTTCATATTCTAAATTAAATGCTGAACAATTCCCTTTCGGACTATTGGCTCCACTCATGGTTCCATTAGTGCTGCCGTCGTTGGTTGAAAGAGAGCATGTGACTTTTCTTTTTTAAATTTCTCATGTCTACTGCCATGATCAGTAAAAAAGGCATGAAGGTATGAAGTTAACGCAAGGGAAAAGTAGTTATTTTTGAAATGTCATTTCTTTAAACATTATTTTCAGGGTTTTGAGTTTTTGTCACAAGCGCCCTTTCTACTTACGGCGGCAGAGTGGGTCCACTAGGATTTTAAAGTACTCATATCTCCACTGCATAACATGGATGAATCTATTCTGAATTTGAGGCAGTCTTGTTCCAACAACCATAAACATGACAATAAACTCGTTTACTATTTGATGTCATTTCTAAACAACGGGCGATACTTGAATCTATAGAGAATCGCGTGTACGACGACCAGAGCAATATATGCTAGTGTGTGCGTCCGTACTCGGCGCGGGCGACCGGCGAGCGTACACACATACATAGTAGAGTTACTCTAATTGTCTTATATTGTGGTCATAATCCGAACTTCCTATAGTCCACATTGCCGATCCCCCTCGCATTATCTGCGGAGCGCGAAACGAATATAGACAATGATAAATTCATTTCAATATAACTTAATTTACAAAACAATAAAAACAAATGTAAATAAAGCTATTATACGTCGCGGATTTGCAAATTTAGCCGCCCTAAGCCCCAGGCCATGTAGTCAGTACGATCAGACAGACACAGACGTAGTGATGTAGTGAGTATACATTACAGTAAAGATAATAATATATCTATATTTTATACATGAAATGTACGAAAGTGATTTAGAAAGACTATTGTTATACGATGAGGTGCAGTGCGGCCCTTGATAATGAGCATGAGTGTTTAGAATATTTAGGTACTTTGAGTTATTTCTTGTTATCGTCAGTGAATTTTTTGTCACGATTGGCCGTCATGATACGCCCGGGCCCAATAGGGCCTTAGAGCAAATCCGCCATTGGCTATTATAGTATTAAAATAATCATTAAGAAGGGAACCTAAATTGTACAATATTCATAGTAAAGCTATACAGTTTAATATTAGAACCTAATGTGTAATTGCGATGCCTAAACTAAGTACATGTGTGTGTGTCAAGAGCATATCGCTTGACACTTTGTGCTTTGGACAGTTTTTATCGTAAGCAGCATAGAGTTGGATTTAAGTGATGTGTCAAGCTTGACGTGCTTTTAGCCCTGTATCTGTAACACAAAATTCACTATATTACAGCTTAAAAACAGATTTTCTACATTTAACAATAAAATAATTAGTAGTTATAAATAATTAATTTGAATTGAATTACATATTTTATCTATTACGTAATTACAAAACACAACTTTCAGAGCTATAGTTTAGTGCTCACACTCGTCAAAAAAGCTCAAGCTCTGCCCTGACTGATCCCGGCGCTAAGGTGCCCTACACCCTTGCCGCATTTCCTCGCTGTATGGCAATGGACAATCTTTGCGCCAAGAACAACTTGGCGCGGGACTCATCTCCACTCTCTCTTAGCGGTCGCCCGAGTTCCGCTACAAACTTTTTCGCATCGCTACTATCGTATAGTTAGAATTAATGATTATAACAACACAAACACAAATTATGAAACACCTTCCAGCAAGCTCTGTTTCATAAAGTTTTACTCTTAAGCCAGAATATATAACCACGACCGAAAAAGGATATAAAAATTGTCATTTGCAGTTGCGAAGTAACGGCCATGTGCTGGGAGCGTCAGCCAACAAGGCGCGCGAGTGCCGAGGCCGTGCAACGCTACTTTGAAGACCACCCACGAGCTTTGCGGCCGGCGCTGCGGCCGGCGGTGCTCGCGGTCGCGGACCCTGACGACGTGGACGACGCCACAGATAGTGGCTTCGGCGAACGAGACTTCGACGACTGGCTCCGCAATGAACGACATAACTCCACCGCATGACGTAACGAGTATCACTCAAGGCAATATGTTTCAGCTGTGTAAATCTCGTTCGATATGACCATCGAGTATATAACCAGAAATAGAGATGAAATAAGTGCCATCCCCTGAGAAAAAATGGGTCTTATATCACTTTTAAATATCAACACTTGTTTGCGCTGAAGTCACAAATTAGAAAGCTGAAATAGTACAGCGCCAACAACAGACCTGTGTGACCGTCTCCGTACATTCCAAAAATATTCTGTATTTATTGTAATAAAGATAATATCTCTAACAATGGGGAGCTGTTCCATCCGGGGGTGTTCCATTCCATACTTTGATGACAAATAAAAGTAATAATATTATAATAAATTTGAATAATAAATAAATGTTAATTATATACTATGAAGTTATGCTACTGTAACCTAATAAAATTCAAACTTTCAAGTGACATAATTCTACTCATAATATGACGTATTTCTTTATTATTATATGACATTTTTTTTTAATATTATTATTTGATAAATAACAATTTTAATTAATAATTGAAACCTCGGCCTACCTCTGCTGTTATTGTTATCCCTAATAAAGGGCTCATATGTGTAGCATTATTTTAAATTTAACACATGTTTACCATATGAATGCAATAAATATATTGAGTATTGAGTATTGAGTATTTCTGCCCTAAATCGTAGACAGAAACGGCAAATACGAAATTTGGTAGAATTCCATAATTTTACAAATTTCGATGTAAATATCTTTTCTAGATGAAAAAGAAGCTTCTCCATAGAATACCTACCTTGTAATCCTATGGATTCTCAATACTAAAAATTTTAAGAAAATGGATTCAAGTGCATACGATCTAACGATTTTTTGTATCGATTTATTTAAACGCGATTTTCAAGCGAATCGATTCAGTAGAAAGGCAAATCGAATCGTCGAAAGCAATAAACATTTTGTAATAATATCATTAAACTTGAACACAATTTGTTTTACAACTAATATTTAGTTGTAAATAATTTTTGCCCTCGATTTCGGGCGTTAATGGGTTTTATCCATAGTTTTAGTATATTATATACTAAATATTTTATCCCGATTTAAACCCAGCGATAACAAATCATGAATACTTTTTTTATACATGAAAATAGTATCCAAATATACACTTCCGTACACATAAGTCGAGCCACCACGCATTTTCAGTATTAAGCACCCTAAGCTTAAACAATATTTAATTGATCAAAAACCATTATGCAATTTTGAAACTAGTATACTAAACGTCGTTTCCATAAGTCCTTGTAGGGAATTTGGATTTGCAAATCGGGGGAAAACTTTTCCTTTGATGATAACACTACTTTGTATTCGCTAGAATACACTTTGCGACAAAAATGCGAGGTGGTTCGAATTATGTGTCCGGGAGTGTATAATAAACATATACTTTAGTATCATTTACAGTAATATTGTAAAACAAAAATAAAATATGGGTTACACCATTTTTGCGCTGTTGTGCGAATCTATGTAGATTTTACATTTTTTTTTGTACTCAAAAAGGTGTTCAAAAGAAAAACGCACTCGCTAAAGTGGAAAACACTTGAATTCGTAGAAAGTGTACTGTGAATACATGTGCGACATAGGTATAATCGAATCTTTGAGGTAATGAGCTTTGACGTGATGTATCTAACATCGATTTTAAAAATGTCTTCTTTTTTAAGGATAAAACAAGTGCGCATTTGACCTTTGTCTCACCTGAAAAGTGATGATGAGGTCGACGACGGAACGTGCACATTTGTTTAATGTCTATTCGCTCTCGCCATTCACGAAACCCAAATTATTTAATTATAGTATGTCCCCAGATCAAAAACTCACTCAGAATCTCGCAGAATTTTCGGGACATTCCGTATTTTTTAAATAAAACCACTGTAAGTTAGCATCAAGTATTTTATATTCTAAAATAATGAGTAAATTACAATAATTTGAATAGATTAAATAACACGACCATTTTTTATTGACTTTTTGTTATCAAGTTCGTCTTTCTGACTTGCTTGCCATAATGGTTTAACATAATTGTTTGTCTTTCTGACTTACTTGCCATAATTAAAAGAGTCCGCTCTGCACCTAGGGCAACGGACAACTCATAGAAATCCTACGACAGTCTTGTTAGTCTGTATTTACAAACATTGCTAAGAAATATTAGTAATATTAGTTGTGGCTATCGTGGCCTACCGATATTCCATTGTAACTTGACCTCGTGTGTTAGCCTCGTCTTTAGTACACATAGCTCAATTGAGACCGGTGGGTGCCAAACGCACAAATATGCATTTATATGGCGTACCTGAACATTTACCACGAAAGGTAGTTGTCGGTAGCAGTCACCTAAAATATTTATGTATGCAAAATGTTCCTTATTGTTGTGACCGCTAGGGAATTTAATATCTTACGTGGTCGCTACGAATAAAAAAAAAACAATCTAGACTCATGGTAGTGGTATTTATTTCCGACGCATATCACCTATATCAAAATTACAAACCGAAATGATAAACGATATTGTTAATATTGTAAACCAGCGATCACTATACGCGGCGGTGATTTTATGTCTGCACGTAGTTATGTTCGTTTACCACCAGAACTAATTGACATCTGTGTATTAAAGCCTTCTATAACACACGAGGTCAGCTTACTAAGACAACACAGTATATCATCACGTGTAATTCATCATTATTTAGTAAGCGGGTATTTCACAGTCGTGTTTATTGTCCGCAAGATCCGGTACATTTCCGATACACATTATCCGCTTCAAGTTCTGGAGTTCAGAATTTGTGTGTTTCGGAAATGTTTACAAGACATCAAATTTCTTTTTCTTAATAATAAAAAGTCAATGTATGGACATTAAAATATAAAAGCTAGCACACGCAAGGTTTTCGATTCGACTGTTTCTTCGATGAATATCTACTGGGTGTCTGCATAATTTGGCATTATAATGGTATCTGCCTTAACAATATGCCAATATGCCTTAACGCACTTAAGTCCACTGACTTCAATGCTCCATGGCATTGACTTACAAATAAATGGACGACGGGTCTAATACAAAAACCACGAAAAAAATGTCCCAAGTCAACCTATTCGAAATTTAAATTGTAATGTCATCGCAGTATCGCGCTGTCGGTAGAACAAATGAAGACTAAAGCGGAGTGTCGCGCTCTGTATACGATTTTAGCGCCTTACAAGTGCGGACACTTTTTAGCGCGGACCCATGTCCATATAATTGTAAGTCAATGCTCCATGGCATCCAGTTTGCCTTACCGCATAAAAGTCCATCAACTTTAATGCTCCATAACATGGCACCCAGTTCGCTTAACGCACGAAAATCCATTCATTCCAATGATCTACGGCACCTAATTTGTCTTTAACGCACAAAGTCCATTAACGTTAATGCTTCATAGTTTTGGTGCAATAAAGGACAATTTTATATGTAATGACTTACTGTAAGCCACGTTATATGGATCATTGTGCGCGTGCACACCCTAGATGGAACAAAAGGTACCTGATTTGTTATCCCGCACATGTCAGCCTCAAAATTAACTCAACTAAAGCGTACATTTTATTGATATTGAAGGTCATCTAAAAGTAATATTGAAAATGCACCTTCAATTCCAATAAGTAGGTTGATTGTCGGCAACGCTCTGACAATATGTTTAAACTAGTTTAAGGATAATTTTAAGGCTGACCTGTTTCTATTTACCTATTAGCAAACAAAAGAGGGCAAAAATTTACCTGCATATATCGGATATTTGCAATTTAATAAAAAAAATGGATACCCTAGCGTGACTCAGCATAACTATTATTTACAAACGACACCAGCCGACTGCGGAGATGTTCGGCGCCGGGCGATCAGCACCTGGAACAACAAAAAAATTATTATATCCACGTAAAGTACAACTCATGAATGAGTGTTGGTACGTAATCAGTTTCTTTTTACATTACACTTATACTTTCATACATGACCTTGACATGACCCTGAGACACAAGTTGACAAGTCCCATGTGCCTGTAATTTCACCAGCACCTCCAGCCTTCAAGCCGGAACGAAGTAATGCTCACATTACTGCTTGGCGGTAGTAAAACGGGTAAGGTGGTAGTATTTCCTTGGATGAACTCTTTTTCACAAGAAGCTCTACCGCTAATGTATATCGACTATATCATGGTAAAAACTGATATCAACTGAATGATTCATTAAGAGAGTCCACCCCACGAATAGTGTAAAATAAGCGTGAGTCGAAATATTAGCTATTTCGACTCATCCGAAGAACAGAGTCCGATGTGATTATACAGCGAAAATAGGATAAACACAATCTCGTTATTCGAACTAAGACCTATCTATGGATGTTTCCAGAATGTTTGTATCTTATTTCATTTCGCAAATATAAAATCGAACAATGGTTGATCTGGTATCCACAGCAGGAACAACTAATGAATTGTGCACTGTCCTAAGAATAAGAAGTCTTGCACATAAGTCTTTGTTCTACGGATAAGTCGATTTGTTAATTATCGGTTTAGTTTCCATATCATCATGTTACTGGGCAGTTCTCATGAAATTTCGAAATTCGTGCTTTCGATATGTATGGAAATTTTAGGAAGATTTTGTATTTATTTTTAGTAAATTTCATAGTACTCATGTAAATAGTTTTTGATGATATAGTGGTCCCCAAAAAAAATAACTTTTAAGAAAATGTATAGGGCAGTCAGAACATTTGAGGTTGAGGGGATGACGGTGAGGGAATGACGAATTCAAAGTAAACCAACAAAAAATAGCGATATAAACTTACTCTTAGACTTAATATTTTGTGTAAGCTTACTGCTACCAATAACTCGTCTAAGTGTTAATAAATAAAATCTAATGCTTAACTTCTTTTTATATGATGTGAGGGAATGACTGTCAAAAATGTAACTTAAAGAATTTTAAATTAAATCTTTTCGTAGTAGAAACTTTTTACACACAAATTATATAGGGTGGACGCAGTGGAGATGAAGTAAATACGAGAAAATATGATGAATAACTATATTAAATTTCCACAAAGGTATTTCTTAAACTAAATCATTTTGAGAACGTCTGAAGTTAGGTACATTATGTCTAAAAGTACTTATACGAAAAAGATATTAAGTAAAGGAATTTAGTCTACGTCTGATGTTAGGAACGTTGGGCCGAAAAGTATCTCATAATTATAATTAAAATGATGAGTTTTGCATCGGTCACGTTGCAATGCGCGGGGCGCGCGTTCCGAGGTGCGCGAATGCAAGTGCATTGACCTGACGTTTTAGGTATGTGTGTTATGTGCAAATCTGGATACATAACACACACAAGTTCAATTTTGTCATTTTGAAATGTTTACAGTGCCGCTAATTTTTTAAAACTTACAAAATGCATTTACCAAAGATTAAAAATGCGTTCACAAATCGAGTGCTGGCAAAAGTGTGAGGGAATGTTTTTTTTGGTTGGGACATGGACAATAATACATTTTTTAAATTTATTTATCGTGTTTTTACCACAGGATAGCTTTAATATTGCAAAAACATATTTTATTTGATCGAATGTTTAAAATTTAAAGGTTATTTTGTGTGTGTTGACTTAAAGCACAGAACGTGTTTGATTATGGAACTTGGGACATAGTGAGGGAATGATATCGAATTATTAGGTTTTCGCGATTGTTACACATAGGAAATGAAACTATTTTTCCGGGTTTAAATCACGTATGTTTGTTTTTTCAAACAAATCGACGTTTCGGGATATTTTTATATTATTTTGTTTTTATTTAAATGGACTAATCAATATTTTATGTAGGCATTACTAGCAATTGCATTATAATTTGTTATTAAATATTAATTTCACGGCAAGAATTAAATACCTTTTTTATAAAACTAAAGGACAAGAATTTCGAGATTTTGTAAGAATTACCCTACTACATATTGTGTAAAACATCATCAAAAATACACAATTTCACCAAAAAGGAACATAAAATCAATCAAATAACGTTCTTGCAAATAACTCGATTGTGTATGTTCGACATGTCCCATCACAATTTCTTTCCGTCAGATGTAGCTACGAAGTCATGAAAACAAACATTAAAGATAATTATTTGAATACATTATAATTTTATTAATACTAAGATCGAACAGTAAGAAAATATCCTTCGATCCAGCTGGATTTGAACCAGCGTCTTCCTGCAAACCGTGCTAGACGCTACGCCAACAAAGCCACGGAACAAACCAACAGACCTTACGAAATTTTTCTATGTGCTTGTTGCAGACAAACAACTTTTTGGTTTTTAACGTCTTTTTTGCCGTAACACCATCTGTGAAATCTATTTCTTCACTCAGCCAGAGAGAGAATATCTTAGAGTAATTAATTCGGAATGTTAATGATGATTTGTGGCTATCATCTTCTACTTATCGAATGACGCGGTCCTTACCTGGGCGGCGGCGCGCCGGGCGGCGGCGCGAAGGGCTGCGGCGGCGGAGGCGGCGGCGCGGGCGCACCCGCCATGAACGGCGCCGCGTGCATGTGAGCGCCGTGTACGCCTGACGACACACGATAAGTACAGCATATAACAGGTTTTTTACGGTGTTAAGTGTGCTTCGAAGTACCGAAGAATTTTGTTGGTATATAGGTATAGCAAGTAAATAGGATTTTATAGGTCAATTCACAAACTCATTTAAGCAGTAGGAATGGACGTGAGATACACAATAGCCGATTCGATTTATCGATTCTATGGTATAAATCTCTATGTATAAATATTTCGTTTCACGCATCAAGTAGTTGGGGTAATTTATCTTTATATTTTTAGTTCGTATTTACATTATATTTAAAATTATTTTATTTAAAATTACAATTGATATATGGTATTCATGCAACGTAAAAATTTGAAATTGTCTCAGTACCCATCCCACGTAAAATGGACTATAATAAGCTTTAGTATATAGTTTTTGTTTCAACAAGTTTTGAATCTGGTATCTTATTATGGAGACGTTTACCTTACCATTTAAATTTTTTTAATGCCTGCGTCTGTCCATAACAGTAGTGCCACTCGAAGCTTTAAATCGCAAAGATTTGAGGGGCACTGCCACCGCGCCCGTCACCATTGGACATAAGTTGGCAAGTTACATGTGCCTGCAATTTCACCAGCACTGCTGGCGGCAGAAATAGGTAAGGTGGCAGCACTTCCCTGGACGAACTCTTTCACACTAAGCAGCATTAAGGAGCGAGTGACATTGCCACGGTAAAGCACCTTAAGTTAAGATTTTGTTTGAAAAGTTGAGCTAACCTTGGTGTATCGGTTTAGGGTCACGCATGAGCTCGTGGTACAGGTTGAGGGCCCGAACAAGCTCGGCGGACAGCTGCGTAAGGCGCGCGTGTCTCGTGTCTGCACGTTCCAGTGCCGCGTCCACGAGGGGGCCCATTCGCAGCACGCGCGACTCCAGTGCCACCAGAGCTGACTGAAGTTTAAATAAATAAAACAATTTATCACGAGACCACACTACAATATTATGTCAACACCAACGACTGCATAATAATAAATAAAATAAAATAAAAATAATTTATTCCAGACAATGTAGCCCCTAGTATGGGCTACATTGTCTAGGTAAGCAAATTAGTAACATGGCACCTTATAACTATGTTAGTATTGGGATTAGTACTCAATTACAAAAATAATACCTAATAATATTAATAATTAGTTACAAATATAAGAAACAGGACGAACCGTGTTAATGGTTTTTGCAATTATTAAATAAATAAAAATAAACCAAATGACATCTCAACTACCTCACTGCACAACCATCCTAATATGAGACATAAATCAATGTGATTTTTCCTTAATATGTGCATATCGACTGTGACTTGGCAACCGGTTCTCCGGAAATCGCAATTTTGACAACTTTACAGGATGAAGAAAAATCATTTATATAGTCTGGTTTATTAAATAAAAATACGTAGTGTACATACATACATGTGTAATAATAAATAATAAAAAAAAATATTTAAAAACTACGTATTTTTTTTTAATAAACCAGCATCTTGATTTTGATTGCCTCTCCCGATCGGAGACTGCGTATTTTCCGAGGCGCGTAATTGCGATTCACAATTGGCCGGTCGGAAACTTTTGACATTTCTAATCGGAACAATAGTTGATTCAACTCACAAATTAGAAAGATATAGTAGGAATCAGGTTCATCTTCTCGCTCAGAAACCCCATTCGAGACTACCCGATCGGATCGATTCCTAAAATATATAAATGACGCAAACAATTCTTTCTTCATCCTGTAAAGTTGTCAAAATTGAGATAGCACCGACTGCCAGTTGCTGCACAGTCGATATGAGACTATCGCAATGTGGTACACGTACTTCGTCGCTCCTGGCTTCGACGTCGGCCTCGTGCAGCAAAGCCAGGGCGGCGTCCATGGCCTGTTCGTCGATGTCGACGGGCGCGTCCTCGACGGGCGCGCTCAGCCCGCTTGTGCTCTCAGCGAACTGCACGCTCTTCGGGCCGCGGGTCTCCACTTCTATAAAATTTTAAGACCAACATAATGAAATTTTTTCTTTGCGTTGAATCGACTTACAAGATGGTACTTGATAGTAACTTCACAAAAAATAATTGAATATCAATTCAATAAAAATTTTAAATACAGTGAATAGCGACATCTCTAGCCGGGGCTGGTAACTGTAAAGGTATCTAACTGGGTGACGAAATACTTTTAGAGATTTCTCATAGATAGCTAAAAAATTTGTGAGCTCCGCTGGTTCATTCCGTGGTTTAGTTGGCATAGCGTCTGACACGGTTTGCTAGAAGACGTTGGTTCGCATCCGGCATTCTTCTTTGCATTAATAATTATAACAAACTAGTGGAGAGTAATGTCACAAAAAATAATTGAATATTAATTCAGTAAAAATTTGAGATGGTACATGTTACATTAATTCATCTATTCAGCCAATATATATGTATAGCACGTAAAATTTATTGTTCTAAGCATTGACTTACAAATAAATGGACGACCACAAAAACCACGAAAAAAATGTCCCAAGTCAACCTATTTAAACGCAGTGACATGTAAAGGAATATGAAAAAGTTAAAACGTTGAATTTAAATTGTAATGTCATCGCAGTACTGTCTAATTTTGCTTGCTTCGCTGTCAGTCGAACAAACGAAAACTAAAGTGTGAATGACGCTCTGTATACGATTTTAACGCCCTGTAAGTTAGGACACTTTTTAGCGCGGACCCCACGTCCATATAATTGTAAGTCAATGGTTCTAAGTATCGTTTACACCGTAATATTTTTTAATAATTAAAATGTTTATACAATTCAATTGTAATTTTTCTTAAATGTCAGGTTTTTAATTTCATTTGGCAGTTTATTATACACTTTCGTGCATAAGTAGTAGGAGCTTTTTAAGTAAAGTGTAGTTGTGGGTACTTTCCACAAACAAATCTATTCGGGTTTCTTTTCGCCCGTGGTTTAAATTGAAATTAAAATAAAAAAAGTAAATGTTGTTTGACAAATTTACAAACTTCGTAAATATATATATATAGAAGGTAGAGTTAAGTTAAAATATACATAGAAGGTAGAGAGACTTATAAATACACGTCCCGTTTATTGTTGTAATTTATTTATAATTGTATCAATTTGCCGGGTTATCTTTTTGTTTTATTTAAAGTGTATTTAGGGGACCACAGGTTCAGACATTGTTAATTTTAAATATGTATTTTTTTTCTCACACGCGGAACTGTTTGTCCCTCAATAAAATAATAAAAATAACCGACTACAAAAAAAGGAGGAGGTTCTCAATTCGAATGTATGTTTTTTTCGTATGTATGTTGTGAACCGATTATGATGATTCTTTTTTGTTGGAAAGAGGGTACCTGAGTAGTGGTCCATTTAAATTTGAAGAAAATATTCCACCTCTAAGGGTGGCAAACTAGGGGATGAATAACTTTTGAGGTCGATTTTTTAGTACTCTGTAATGAAATTATTTACACTCCTGTACTTTAATCTGTCAATTATCATTTTATAAACAATATGACACAACGGCAGTCATCCTATTAGGGCGCCTTCAAATTAGACGCTTATAGAAGCACTGCAGCCGCGCCACTACCGATTTTCATGCAATATTTAGAAGCGCCATTGTCGTGACTAGCCAGCGACACTTTTGCAGTCACAATTAGTAAACTAAAAATAACTGAAGGCGCACCTCTGCTGCGCTTATAATAGCGTCAAGTTTGAAGGGGACCTTACTGTCATGGCCGTACTTTGTTTTATACAAACGTTAACGGGATCAATGTAAGGACTACAGCACAAAGAAATAGTGGCATATGGGTTTAAAAAAAAATGTAAAGTGTAGTGTAAAAATTATGAATAAAATATCACTTACTGGGTGCGGGCTCGCTGAGATCGAAGGTGACGAAGTTGGCAGGAAAGAGGCCCTCCCCACGCTCGTTGTAACCCTTCCACCAGTTTGGGTCGCTAGAGTCCGTCACGTGAACTGGAAAAGACATCACGATATATTTATATACAGGAAATTCGTTATCTATTTAACGTGCGTAAAACGCGATACAAACGCAGCTATCTGCTTTTTGAGCACTTAAAAAACGCGCGTCGTATGCGTCTCCAAGTGCGAACATAAAATACTCACCCATTTCGCCAGCCATAAATGTAAGTTCATTGTCCTCAGCGGCTTCAAAGTCGTACAAAGCGCGTACTTTGCGCGGGGTCTGTGCGGGTTGCGCGGGGATGGCCTCCGTGTCCACGCGCGGGTACAGCGTCGACGACGCCGGTGCCGCAGTAGCATTAGACTCTTTCAGGGACAGGGCGATCGCGCGAGCTAGGTCTTCCTAAACAATTTACCATTACTGTTATCGAAAATCCAAATTAGATGCGCCAATAACAATGTGTCATGTCATGTCATGTGTTAAAAACATTACCTGCTTATTCCAAGGGCAGAATCCCTCGACAAAAAACTTCGAGCGTACTCTGTTTATTGCAGCAAGGTTGTCGTGTTTCAGGCATATTTGTTATTTTTTCACACAAATTACACCCAAACACACGAGAGAAATAAATTTAAACCATACAAATATTTCTCCCGGTCCAGGAATCGAATCCGGGACCTCGGCGTGGCATGGTAACCATTGGGTCACGGAGGTAGTTAGTAGGTAGGCTGAACAGGAAAAGGCTCTAAGACCCAAACTCTGTTACTTCCATACTTAAATTTCCGTCACATTTGCAAGAACCGCTAAAATAGAATTTCATTTACAGGTTATTATTCGATCTAGTAACGGTGGTGGAGCTACTTGTTGGCATTCTTAGTTATTAATTCTCCAAATTGCTGCAACAACAAAAATTGTCTTGGAATATACCTAAAAGTGCTTAGTGCTATTACATTGCAGTTAAACTATACCTGTTCCTTCTGCGCGGCCGCGGCCGCGGCAGCAGCGGATGTGGTGGAAGCATTGGCGCTCTGTGAAGGCGCACCAGCCCCGTCTGCTTGCTCAGCGCGCAGCTGTTTCGCCAGAGCCGGAATAAGGTCCAGCTGAGGATCTGAGCGGAACTCCCCATCCGCCCATTTGCGAAGTAAAGAACGCAATCGTGCCGCGATAGCCGGTTGCGCGCGCGATATCAACCGACGGTATTCAGTTTCGAACTCGCGAGATGCCACCTTTAACAAATTACAATAAGACCTTTCATATTTTTCTTATCCATAAACAACTGTAGAGAGATCAAAAACCTTGACCTTCAATTTAATCTGATCCATGTATTTATTACGCACACATTTTTTTTCCACAACGGTAACAAGTTTCATTATCTTCGAAAAGCCTTTTTATAAACCCTGCTAGAAACGAAAGAAATATTTTAAAAGTAAACAGAAGGTGGAAATTGTTTGGATGATTACATAATGATGAATTTATAAAAGTTATAGATGCGAGGAATATAGGAAAATAGAAAAAGAGGAAGACTGAAAATAGCATTCAGTGAGCAAATAAAAGAGGATATCAACTAGGGATGCACGATTTTTTGCGTTGTATCGATTTTTTGGATCGTAATGGATCATATTCCTCTGAATCGATCCGCAGATCGGAATCGTATGCTCTTGAATTAATCTCATGAAAATCGTTTCAAAATTAATTTCGATAAAAAGAAAATACTTTTGACAGCCTTTTTGACTCCAGTGGGTTACGATTTTCTTTTAACCTAACCAGTGAGAAAAGACGTTCAGATTGTAGACTTATTGAACTTAGATGTTGCCAAATTGCTTTTCTTGCAGGCCATTATAAAATAGGGGTTCATCAGAAAGAGACTGTTTTGTTTAAATTATGAATACAATCTAGACGATACGATTCGCTTTAATGTTGAATCAATTTCGAATCGATCGAAAAATCGCTAGATCATATCGTCTGCTTAAAGGTAAAACCACATATGTGTCATTTTCCACAAAAAATCTCTAAAATACGTACCTGTTGCCAGAAAATCGCCATCTTTCTGCAGATAAAACTATTTAAGTTTATAGCTTATTGTTATTAAGTAACACGTGCAGAAAGAGTGATTTTCTTACCATAGCTATACTGCCCTCGGAACGTAAACAGGCACAACTGCTGTATAAAGTATGCATAATAGTGCCTTTTTTCTTTACGAGAGCAGTATATAAATTAGAGACTTTGTGGAAAATGTCACTTATATGGTTTTACCTTTAACAAACGATATACACTAGAATCGATCTTCATAAAAATCGAATCGTAGTGTGCACCTCTAACGTCAACGTGAACATCTATAAAGAGGTCAAGGAGCTGATTATAGATCGTGAGGAATGGAGGAGGCTACACCGACACAAACATGGCTCTTAATCTTAACAGGATGATAATAATCATTAAAAACAGACTTCAATTGATGGTCAATTTTAAAATAGATTCGATATTCCTTCCTTGAAAGAAACTGCTGTACTTATTCGTGACGACTAACTACAATGCTCGGGGTCTACTCTCGGTCTCCGTCCGACATCCGTCCGAAACAATTACTGTCAAATAAGTAATATTCGACAAAATTAAAAGACAAGTATCCAGTATGAAGCTTCATTCGCATCACGCGTCTTTTCATTTGGTCAAGTATTGCTTATTTGGCAGTAATTGTTTCGGACGGATGTCGGACGGAGATCGAGATTAGGCTCCCTGGTCACTTACTAAAAAGAGACGGAGCATAGATATTAATCGTTAATATCTCTGGTGGTCCAACTTCTGTTTGTTTTGTATGAGTTTGAATACCGACGACCACGGTGGTCCAACTGTTTTCGGTTTTCGGTCACATGCCTCATCCGTCCTGGATGACGTCCTAGCCCAATAAAGAATATTTGCAGCGAAATTTCTAACTCACCTCAAGGTGAAAAATGCGTCCGCAGTTAGCGACACAAGCGTCCAACAACGTAGCAGCGTGGACTTGCACGTGCGGATCAGGGTGTGCCAGGCGACGCAGTACAGCGCGCAGGCAGTCCCGCGCCGCTTGCGGCGATGCGCCTGCTCTGTCGCAGATCTCCAGAATCAGACCCCATTCTTCATTTGTATTGTTTTCGCATGTCGCCTTCTCTGTGAAATGATATTAAATGATGTAAGAATATTTTCCCCTACTGTTCCACATTGTGTTAATAAGATTTCTTTGTTGCCTAACCCTTTTTAAAACTTCTTCATAAGATATCTTCTCAATTCATTTTATTTTTACATTCGCCGCCAACACCACATTTCAAATTACTCCAATCTCTTCCTGTCTTTTTTATGATTGTTCATGTCCCGCATCAATGTAACAGTTTATCCTTCAATTAACTATATATTTATATAGTAAATTGAACGGTTATCATACTGGACTGCCACGCAGAGGCTCTGGGTTCGATTCCCTGGCCGAGAGAAACATTTGTATGGCCTACATTTATTTCCCTCGTAAGTTTGGGTGTAATTTGTGGTTGTCTATGTGTTTCCATGGCACCCGCGATACAGGGTTTCCTTAGCGTAGGTTTATGAATGTGTGTGTGTGTGTGTGTGTGTGTTATGATAACCCTAAATTACAACGTTTCCTTTTCCGTGTGCGTCACGAATGATAGATCAAAACACTTCGTGGATATCCATGTCCATAAGGAAGGAGTGTTCCGGATTTTCTACTACGAATCGAAGAGTTAGTGTCTGAACCGAAAATAATCGCAGAAATAAATCCGCCCGACTTCGTTGGTTGGGCATGTGGAAAAAATAGGAGAGAAGAAAGAATCGAGCTGTCAAAAGGCGTATTAGTCATCATCCGAGATCAGAGGGCCGTTCGTGATATCGCTGGAAGAATAGTAGTCAAAGACCAAAAGAAATGGCGTACTTTGGTATCGGAGACAAAGATCCACTTCGGGTCACTGTGCCAGCGAAACAAGTACATAAGTAATCTGAAGGAGGAACGGTGAGGGTGGAACTAAATTGTAATCTGTTGCTCATAAATTCGAACCCACGTACCTCTGCTTGAAACGTTACCACGACTTTAAATGTTTATGGTATGTAGAAGTATATTTATGGTAAAATTGCTAGTCGTAGCAAGTAATCAGTCTTATTACTTTTCGCTCCACCGAATCAGAACAGTCCCATACATGACATCATGACATCAGTACTCCTATACCACCGAACTTGTTCACTCATTTTATTTCAATTAATTATAACAAATTAGTGGAGTAAAAGTAAAGAGTTCCCTGCTTTGTACAGTCAGGTAAAAAAAGACTATAGAGTTGAGATAAAAACGCAAATACGACATCGTGACACTTCAAACAGTTTGTGCTTGATAAAGACTTAAAATCTGTTCTGGACTAAGGTACCGTTTGACCCTGAAAAAGATGCCCAGTTTTTTGGCAACAATTGTTTTAAAGCACTCGTTGTAGCGACCGAAGTTGAACCTGGATAATAATATCGGTTTTATTGAACATTTTAATTTTACATTAATTTTTTTTTATTTTGAACATTTATTTTGAATATTCACATTTTTTATTTTTATATATTTCGATATGAATGTCTAAATATCACAAATGCATATAGTCGTGACGTGTAAAGCGTAATATTAGCATTTTAAATAATTTATCTGTTACCAACATAAGGGCATGATCTAGGTCAAATTGTCATCTCAAGGTCTCTTGAAAGAGATTGTTATCTAGAATAAGGTCATCTCTTGTACCTTTTTGTTTGTCTTTCATTTGGTTTTGTATTGAATTCTGTGTGCAATACAAACTACTTGCATTGTATTGTCTACAATAGATACAACAGGAATTCCATCTTGTCGACATTTTTATAATAAATATAATATAAACTAATTTATAAAATATGTCACTGATTAAACGGTAACTCCTCAAAAAATATAAATTCAAAGTATGTTTTAAATTACAATTAATAATAACATGAAATAAACTTGAAACATAACCTTACTACAAATAATAATGAAACAATTAACTCCAAAATCTAATATTTTATTCTCAGTACAGAGTACTAAAAAAACCGACCTCAAAAGTAATTCGTCCCCGAGTTTGCCACCCTTAGAGGTGGAATATTAGTATAAATATATCATTAATCAATAATAATATTCATCACCAAAGAATACCTTGTACTGTAATAGATATACTCCAAAAACGTCTATGAAGTTAAATCACTAAACAATAATTAAAATTTGTAAATAAATGTTTGCTGATAAGACAATAAGGCTAATAACATTAAAGACCTAAATGCACACATAATAAAAAACGTTTTAGGTGATTGATAATCTAAAGTTCTTTGACCAGATAATGTAATAAATCAAGAGAGTCCAAGAAATCAACATAATTTTATAAATATGCATGAATATTTCACTTGGTGACTCATCTCACCTTCCTTCTCATACATAGTGAGCCAGTTGGATAATTTGTATATAGAAAATGGATTTTTGGATATCGGATCCTAAAGAAAAGTTTTAAAGCATGGATAGAATATAATAGATATATGTATGTATACCATTGGTGTTTTATGAATTTATTTGGATGTGGGATCTTATAGAAAAGTTTTAATGCATAGATAGAATTTTTTATTTGCAGAATAAATATTTTTTTTTATTTAAATAATAATATGAATGATTATTATTTTGTGTTAAATGTACACCATATCTACCACAAAGATCTATGTGCAAAACTACTTGTTCTCAGGACATAGTGCATTTCGTTCGTCCTTCTTCATTGTGGATGTCAGATCGACCGTTGTTCGATTTTATATTTCCGAAACAAAATAATATATATAAATTCTCAAAACACCTTTATATAGGCCTTAGTTTGAATAACAAAATTATTCTTGTAACATACTTATTCTCTTTTCGCTATAAAATCACATCGGACTCTGTTTTTCAGATGAGTCGAAATGACATTACAACTTAATAATTTAAGAATGTAAATTTAAATGTCTTCTCTAAAGAGAAGAGCTTAAAGGCCTTTTAACATTTTTCCCTTGTTAGTATTGAAGGTCTGATAGGCAACATGAACTAAATAGGTACGCCACAAATACGATAATAACGAATGAGTCATAATTTTCAAGACAAATTCATAATAAGATATAATCTAATGACTAATACTAGAAAATTAATAACCTGGTGTATCTACTTATAAGCATAAGACCTTTAGTTTTTAGTCATAAAGCCAATTATCGGTGAAAAAAATGGCCTTACACGATGGCAAATGCTTAGGCCTTTACGATTTTCCTGACTTACCTGAACAATATCAATGGTATGATTTTTGTATCTTGAACGCAAATATCGATACGAAAGTAGTAGAAATTGAGGCATTTATTCATATAAATACTGTCACATGATATGAATTGTGAACAAAGAAAGTTTTTAACCTTAAAGAGTATTATTCATTGCTAGAGAAATCTTACCTACGTCCGCGTCGAAAGGTGAAGAATTACCAAATATCCCCATATTTACACACTAAATATTGATTAAATTTACAGTTGACAACGCGTTGAACTATTCCAATTGTATTTTTTTATTTTCTAAGGTAAATTTCACAATTAAATGAAAAAATTACACGATCGAACAACAAAACAACCGAACAACCGCATGACGTATGAAGTCACACTCGTTCCATTGTAAATTCGAAATGAGTTTTACCCATAGATTTAATATGTTTTACCACGCACCAATAATTTTAATAAAATTTGCTTTTTCATTTATAAATACATAAAGTATAATTCCTAATTTCTACAATTCAAACGAGGAATTGTAACCGAAAATTGTTATACACTACTGTCATATTATAATAGTCAAGTTTATGATATTTTATTGATATTGGCCTCTAATTGGAAAGGCTATAAAATTTCGCAACTGATTTTCGGTATATGTGGCACCGCGCACCGTACACGATGAAATTGGTCGTTATCTAAATTACAATGAAAACATATGGGAAACATCAACAATGTTAAAAAAATAACAAAATTATGTTGTTCGATTACATTATTTGGAATAAAAAAAAATTTCATTACAAAACGAACATGACCACTAAACAAAATCAACAGCGTTTTATTGTTGCGTTTTTGCAGATTAATTCTATCGTTTGAAAATTTAGAAATGTGTATCGTTTTTGTGGGACTACGAATTATTAAATTCCTTTTCAAAATTGTAATTTATTTGCTTTAATTTGGTTTTATTTAAACAATACATCAAAAACCTGCACACCTTGTTTGTTTTTTATTAATGCATTTTTAATATTCAAAAAGTCAATGTATACAAAAGTAATACGTCCTATAAATTTTATGACATTGACAATCAGCTGATACAACGTGATAACGCGGCGTTATTAAAACAATGTTATCAATTTTTTTCGAAACAATGTGTTTTCTATTGTAGATCTCCATAAAAAAGAGTACAAAATACGAAGTGGGAAGTACATTCCCCTGTAAGTTACCGAACACTTTGATTTCAACCAATGAGCACGGTGAATTTTATGAAAACAAGGATCTAACCCACCGCAATAGTTAGGCGGTATCCAGTGGCCTGGATGTACAATGTCTCAAGAAATAGCGATGAATGCCAGCGAGTACAAGAAATATCATGAATCTTTCATGCAGAATAACCACGGCACGACGGCACTCCGGACGTTTTTTTGTATATTTTTTACCGTGCAATGTACACTATATTGTTCTATAAAACGTAAGACAAGAGGCCTACTTTGCTATGTTTACGATTATTTTGTAATAGTATTGTCTTTGATTTTTGCTCATACAATATTATCTAACTATATTTATGTTTTAAATTTAATAATATTCACACTTTTAATTTTGAAATTTATTACTGTGAATCATGAAATAGATATTTGTAAAATGTTGGCACAACAAAATGTATTATTAACGACAAATATACAAACCATATCTTGTCTTCGAGGTTTGACGTATTTGATTACAGTTTTATGTATATTGGCTGTTGATTTTCAAGTGTTTCCACGTGACCTGGCTAAAACTGAAAAATACGGTTTCAGTCTAATGGACACTGGAGTAGGTCTGTTTGTTCTTATGAGTGGGTTAGTACACAAAGACCTTCAAAAACATAAAACTTTGGTAATAATAAAATCAAATGCAAAATTTTTTACTATTCTAATACTGTTAGGTATAGCCAGATTCATATCTGTGAAACAATTAGACTATCAAGAACATGTGACCGAATATGGAGTGCATTGGAATTTCTTTTTCACTCTAGCTCTTTGTAAATTATTAGCTACATGCATATTATTCCTTTCAAACAGACCTTTCTTATTTAGCCTTATAATATTGGTGTTTCATGAATTAATATTATACTTTGGTTTACAAGACTGGGTATTTAGTGATACTCCTAGAACTAGCTTAATAACAGCCAATAGGGAAGGTATTACTTCGTGTTTGGGTTACGTTTCTCTTTATTTGTATGCTGCATATGTCAAAACTGAATTGAGTGATCATACAAAATCAAAAATTAATATTGTTCTCAAACTTGCATGTTTAAGTGTTATTCAATGGATGGCACTGTATTTTTTAAATAATGATCTACCTGTATCTAGAACATTAGCAAATTCAAGTTATTGTATTTATTTGTCCTCAGTTTTTACAAGTATAATATGTTTAATGTATTTTATTGAAGTGTTGTTTCAAGATAAAGATAAAAAACTGTTATTTCAAGTTCCGTTAATTATTTTAGCTATCAACGACAACGGCTTAATATACTTTTTAACAGCAAATTTACTAACCGGTGCAGTAAATTTATCCTGCCGTACACTGTTTGTGTCCAGTTCATTTTCTATTGTTATTTTAAATGTTTATATGGTTTTAACTTTATTTTTAGTTGTGTATTTGAAAAAAGTGGGATTAAAGATTTGAAACCTAAAACCTTTGCTTGTAACAAGAACAACTCCTAAGTCTGATATGAAAAGCATATTGTTTGAGATGTCACTCATATCTCGTGATATATTTCAAGCTCCCCTGTATTTATAATCTATAAAATCAATATCTTAAATGATACTATGGAAGTGGCCAAAACCATGCACTCAAGTGATTACATGGATTAATATGGGGACATTTTCAAAGTTTCAAATCGTAATCAACAGAGAGCAGAATAAGCATTGTATTTGCCTAACCTTCACGAAATACAGTAATATACATAGAGAGTATTCCTTCTAAAATCTCGGCACTAAAAATAAAAAAACTAAAAAAAAAAATAGTTATACACATACCAGCACATTTAGCAGAAGTTTTAAAGAAAACTATGTCTGATTATTTTACCCTTTTCGTTTAGGTGTAATTTGAAAATACAAAATTAGTTGACTGTTATTTTTTCATTCATTGGTTTTAATTCTTAATAAAAGATTTGTTGAGAGGTTCGAAGTTGATTTTGTATCTATGTAAATTTTGTTAACTAGTTGATTTTTTGTTATTTATTACACTTTGATTTCGTCAACATCAAATTCTTATAATTTTTAAATTTTCAGTCATTTCTGATTTGTCACAAATTAAAAAAAATAATCCATTCCAAGTTATTAGGCTCGTATTCTAGAACTCTACTCAATGCTCAAGTCAGGACTAGAGTATGATTCAAAGCACTAGAAATCATACTCAAGTCCTTGCCATTAGGGTCGTATTTCCAGTGCTTGAAATCATACTCAAGTCTGCTCAAATCCTAACTTGAGCATTAAGTACAGTTCTGGAATACGACTCTAAGGGTCGTCATCATCCTAATGGCAAGGACTAGCATTGAGTAGAGTTCTGGTATACGACCCTAATACGTCTATGTTCAAAAGACGTAAGCGAATAAGTGAATATTGAAACGGTAAAGAAATATGTTCCTATTAAAATAATGAATGTACACAGTGTATTTAGATGACATACATGTATAAATACTAGGCACAAATGCTACCGCAATATTTTATTATTATTATTAATTTTATTTTCCTTGTTAATAGCATATAAATATTTATTAATTTTTTTTTAATTATAATATAGTGTTAAAATTTATTTGAGATTTAAGAATTGTCTTTTTGTATAAATTGTATTTTGTTTCTTGTAAGGTTTTTGAAGATTTTATTTATAAATGTTGCCCTCTCTGTGTTTGTGTTGTGTATGTGTTTTTGCTGTGCCCAATAGGGTCCCGATGCTCTACTTTAAGCGTGTTCACCTGCTACATTGTAAACTTTTGGGAATGCAATAAAGTATTGAGTATTGAGATGTTAATTAAATTGCTTTATCTTTATTTAAATATAAATGTTAATATTATACCTATATTCTTATTTTATGTTGTTTCGTAAAATGTGCCGGTGTGTGTATTTTTATTTACAATTTTTTCGTCAAGCACAACAATGCATTAAAGTAATAGCGAGTTACATTATAATAATTTAGGAATGTCAGGAGTTATTGTCCACTCTATATGTGTGTTACATCCATGAACTTTAGGTAAATATACGCTACTTATTTCGCTATCTATCTGGTAATTAATGAGAAATAGTTTCAAGTGATATTTGTTATTACACCTTAATAATGTAAACAAACGCACATATACAGTGTGATTTGTATATTCTGTTCGCTGAGAATAATAAGGAATAATAAGGAAGGTTATTGATGTAAGAAAATTAAAATAAGTATAAATATATTTAATTTCTAAATAATATGAATACAACATTAGTTTTGTACATAAGAATCAATTTAAAAAATTAAAGTAAATTATGACTATAATTCAGTATCGAATTATGTACGTATATTGTGTTCAATTTATTTGGTTTTCTTTGTCATATTTTCAAATATAAATAATTTGACAATCATTTATTTCTTCCTTGTAAATTAACATAAATTATACTATAACAAATTAGGAATACTTACATAAAATAAAACAAAATATAACCGTAACTTCTTGGAAATAAAAGACATAATCATTAAACATAAATAGGTAAAGCATAAATTGTACTATCTATTATTGCAACAATCTATCACAATACAATTACAATTTGACTGAAGTAAAATTAATTGAAATAAGCATTTAACATGGAGGATTACAATGTTAATTTAGAATTTTTCTGCTGACATACACTGCAACATAGATTCAGGCATGCAAACATATTTGTTCTGAATTACATACGAATCACGTCTCCCAATGGGGTAGGCAGAGACTATGGACCTCCGATTTAACTTTCGTTTCGTATCAGACCTTTCATACCCAGTCATCCGTTTATTCTTGTTTCTAAACTTCCATTCACACTATTTTATGTACATATTATTTTAAGCATACAACGCAGAAGACCAACAAGTTAAAATTTAACTCTGAAATGGTGGCGCTTGAATTTCCTTTCGACACAAATATTAATTTCTATTAGTACCTACTTCAAAATTTGGCAATATGGAGAGCCAAAATCATCCCTGACTGCACTAACAAACGTACAATATGAAGGGTTCGAAATTTATATCTTTAATTACATAACTTTGTCACAAAAAATTAAATTTTAAAATAACTACAAAATTAAATGCAACTATAGGCTCATTATTAATAAATTATAATTTATGTCAATGGTAATAAAGGCAACGAAATCATACCTTATGCCAGTCTTTAAAAGAATTAATCATAGACAAGGCGGTTTTCAGATAGCTGCAGAATGAAATGCAGTGTACTAGAGGCTCGCTATAGTTAAAAGAAACTAGGATATACTTATTGGAATGTTATTGGAAAGCTAATAGAAAGGCGGGTTAAATGTACTTCTTTCTAATACCTAAAAGCATCCTATCATTAAGCGCTACAATACCTACATGTCCTGATTATATTCAACGCCAGTCCTATTTTGCTCAATACGACAGAAGCTTCTTTCATTTAATATTAAATAGTAGTACCTTATGTTCTTTTTTGTTAAAGTGACCTGCACTTTGGAGAATGAGGTGCTTTTATGCACGGAAAAAATAAAATTCCTCCATAAGGTATATGCATTTACGCTGACCGCTGAATATAACTTGACCAAAATGTCTGATAAACACAAAAAAAAACATAAATAAATAAGTTTAAAAACTACGTCTCTCTTCGTACACTTCTGAACACAATAATTTAACCTGTAAAATTACTGCATTGTATGTCAATAACAGTATAATGCTAAACAAAGGAAATGGCTAACTATTCATATTTTCGATAAAACAGAGTTACAAAATACTGTTATTTTCTTATCTATGCTAAATCCTACAATCATAAAGACTTCAATTTAAAAATGTTACAGTAGACTAATATGACCTTAAAAAGATTTTTGGCATTTCTTTTGCTCTTTAAATTCATTTGACGATTAATTAACACAGAATCTTGAATTAATTTCATGGTAAATTAATAATCCTTTAATTTTTCTTAAAGTTGTCAGACCCCGTTTGAAACCGTTTTTACGGTAATCCTATCACAAGCTCGAATTTTTCTTTTCCGAAGTAACGTTTGTTCGAGTTTTCATTACACCGAAAACCGAACGAAGCCGTTGTTCTTTCAGGATATATTGGATGTTTATCGTAAAGACACGATTAGGTTCGGTTAGGTTAGGTTAAGTTAGGTTTAAAAGAAAAAAACATTTTCACAGACATCAAACACAGACAACAACAAACACAAACATTTCAAAATTACTTTCGACGTTATGAAAATTCGAGCAAACGTTACTTCTGGAAAATGTCATATCGAACTACTGATAGGTAACCTTTTTATACATATTGATTTCTTAGGTTTTCGCGATTGTTACACATAGGAAGTGAAACTATTTTTCCGGATTTCTAACAAACCCGAAAAAACAAATATACGCGATTTAAATCCGGAAAAATAGTTTCATTTCCTATACCTTTTTTACAGTTTAGTACAATTACAACTTAAACTTTTGACGGTACTTATCTATTTTAATTATGATAACTAGAGTTGTGATATGTGTAAAAGTTTGATAATTAGTTCACACGCATTTGTGAATCTTGCTTACAGAATAAAAGTTTGACTAGTCTATGGTCACGAAGGCTCACTAAAGAGATCTCCGCAAATTGGTTTACCTATATCCAATGGTAAAACCCGAAATAGATGTAAGTAGTGTCAAATTTGTGACCAGTTTTAAGCGACATGTTACACATAATTATTTTAATCAAGTTCATGGATATTTTAATTCGGACGGTTTTATCATAAAAAGACACACTTTCATGAATTGCTTATCGATAAATGCATTTCCAACAACGTGTAATATAAAAGCCGATAGGTTGCTGTCAATCAGGTACTTACTACTTTAAATTCTAGGCAAGAGGGGTCTTTGTTTTTAACGCAGTAGTACGTCTCGTTATTAACTTCTTAAAGGTAAAGTATATGGCGACATACACCGAAGCCAATCCTACGACGACTAAATAAAACATTAGGAATGGAAACCGTTCCGATGACCAGAAGACCGTGTACCTCATTTTCCGGTTGTTCGATTCTGAAACGGTACAAAGCATTGTATTGAAATAATTAAGCTTTTATTGACAGAAATGTTCGTAAGTTCTTCCACTATACTGTAAATAAAAGGTTGTATTTCTTTTATTGTTAACCTGTATTGCTCATCAAATAAAGTATTTTTTTAATTTTAATTAAAAATACCTAATAACTCCACTGCGAATTGAAGATAATTAATTGTATCTCGGGACGGACAAGTCGTGGGACTGGTGGTAAGCGACACCTGTCCATAACAGTTGCAGTGCCACTCAGAGCTTTAAATCACAAAGATCTGAAGGGCACTGTCACTGCGCCAGTCAACGTGGTACATAACTTGATAAGTCCCATGTGCCTGTAATTTCACTAGCACTCTTTCCCTTCAAAATTGGAACGCAGTAATGCTCACATTATGACTTGGCGGCAGAAATAAGCAGTACTTCCCTGGACGAACTCTTTTACAAGAAGCTCCACTGCTACTAAAACTAAACTGTATCTCAAACAAGAGGTCGATTTTTCGAATCCCAGCGGGGACATGTACATTTGACTTTAATTTTTAAGTTACACACATATGTGCATGTTTAATAGCATTACCTCTCTAACGGTAAAAGAAAATATTGTGATAAAACCTGCATGTCGAAGAAGGTTCACAACTATTGAAAAACATATGACTTCCCCAACTTGCACTGAACTATTCGCTTATTACAATCTGGGCCCCAGAGTGTCTTTGAGAGATAAGTTTAAAGAGATTAACATTCTTACACTAGAGTCACAGTACATATACGAAAGAAAAAGTTATATATATTAAGAGGAATACTTTATTTTTTATTAAAAATCACATGAGGATTAAAAATAAACTAGGTATTCTTAACAGACGTCTGAATAATAACATTACGGTTGATATTATATTAAAACTATAGTGAAACAAAAACTTTATGCTAATGGTTATTGTATTGTGTATTGTAGGGTGTAAGGGGCGCCACCCACCCTACCCTACGGTGCTTAATAGCCAACCTCACCAGCACACGGTACACCCTGCTCCTACTAACGAGGCTCTGGCGATCTACCAACACTAATGAAATGAAATGGTCTAAAACCCCCCAATGTATGTACAGCACAGAAAAGTATCACCAAGTACCCATGGCGCCAATAGATAGCGCAGAACCAAGCTCACCCAACACTATACTGAGGATATCCCAGACATCAGTCTGTACGAGATTAAGATGGCTCTGAAACAGCTAAAAACAACAAGGCACCGGGTGAAGACGGAATTACATCCGAGCTTCTGAAAGCGGGTGGAACACCGGTACTAAGAGTCCTTCTCAGAGAGGAGGTGATACTCTTCTTCAAAAAGGGAGATAACAATAGGGATTGAAGAAATACAGGTTCATCTCGCTTCTAAGCCACGTTTATAAGCTGTTTTCACGTGTCATCACGAACCGTCTCGCGCGCAGATTCGTTGACTTCCAGCCCGCCGAACAAGCCGATTTCTGAAAGGGCTTCAGTACTACAGATCACATCCACACGCTGCGGCAGGTTATACAGAAGGCCGAGGAGTATAACCTGCCGTTATGCTTAGCGTTATGGACTATGACAAAGCGTCTGATTCGATCGAGATTGAGGGTCGTATTCCAGAACTCTGCTCAATGCTCAAGTCAGGATTAGAGCAGACTTGAGCATGATTTCAAGCACTAGAAATACGACCCTAATGGCAAGGACTTGAGTATAATTTCTAGTGCTTTGAATCATACTCAAGTCCTGACTTGAGCATTGAGTAGAGTTCTAGAATACGACCCTTAGTCTCTACAACGGTGCCGCATTGACTATCGATATATCGAAGTGTTGAAGTGTTTGTACAGAAACGCTATGTCAGTTCGACTCCAGGACCAATGCACAAGGCCTATCCAATTGCGACGTGGAACGAGATGATTGAAACGAAATTTGTACGAAACTGTTCACCACTGCATTGGAAAATGCCTTCATGTTACTGAACTGGAAAGGACTCGGCATCAACATCAACGGCGAGTACATCACTCACCTTCAATTTGCAGATGATATCGTGGTCATGGCAGAATCCTTGGAAGAGCGTGGCACCATGCTCGGTGACCTCAATAGAGTTTCCCAGCAGGTGGGTCTAAAAATGAACATGGACAAGACGAAGCTTATGTCGAATGTCCAAGTCATACCCACCGCTGTAACAGTGGGAACCTCTACTCTCAAAGTTGTTGACGAGTATGTCTACCTCGGACAAACCGTCCAATTAGGCAGGGCCAACTTCGAGAAAGAGGTCAATCCTCGAGTTCGACTCGGTTGGGCAGCTTTTGGGAAGCTCCGGGACGTCTTCTCGTTTCAGAAATGAGGAGATCCGTAGAAGAACGAAAGTCACCGACAGCCTAAAGGATTAGTAAGTTGAAGTGGCAGTGGACAGGGCACACAGCTCGTAGAACTGACGGCCGTTGGGGCAAAAAGGTTCTCGAACGGAGACCACGAACCGGAAGGCGTTCAGTGCGACGGCCCCTACTAACCTGGTAACCGATGGATGCACGCCGCGTCCGATCGGCTAGTTTGGAAATCTTTGGGGGCCTATGTTCAGTGCAGTGGACGTGTTCCGGTTGACATGATGATGATATTGTACAGTTTCTGCGTACATTTTTTTTATGAGCCTATACTGTCACGGATGACAAAGAATCTACAGTAGTGACACCTTTAACTCTTGCAGGCAGTCTCAATCTTCATTGTTTGAAATAAATATTGAAAATGTTAAATGTATTGAAACGTATATTTAACACAGCAACCCCTAGAGTTTCTTGCTCATTCTTCTCAGGGGACTCTGCGTTACGAATGAGCAGTAGAATTTAATTAATAAGACGATTTCAAGTGTAATTTGAAATAACCTATGAAATAAAGATGATTTGAATTTAATAAGCTAAACCCTCTTTTTAGAGGGGACACTTGATGGATTGATGATAATGACGAAAATAATATGAATTAGTATCTCACCAAGAACAGCTGCTCCATATCCAATTTTATTCGTTCCCATTCTGTACGAGCATGTTGGCACAAATATTTCATATTTTATATCTTCACTGAACGTAATTTCAAGAGGCGGATCTCCATCTCTGAACTCAGTAGTCTCTTTGAAGACCAGGTTTTTATTTTGCGTAATATATTTTGATTTATGATCATGGGCGCAGAAATAGATGTTTGGTTGGAGTCTGTTGTTCACCTGCAAAATTATAACATATAATTACTAAAATAAAAACACTATTGTTAACGAGCGAGCAACCAGTTATAGTAACGATAAGCATCGAAATAATATATTTAAATGGATATAAAATAAATAGGTAAAAAACACAATGCTTTGGCGGTCTGCCGACAATGACTGACAAGGGTTCAAATTTGTCGCTGTCAGCGAGCCACTGCTAACACTGAACACTGTTAATTCTGGCTACGCCATAATGGCCCTAAGAAGATTAATTGTGAGATGAAGCTGCCTGCGTGTAAAATCCTATCTGATAACGGCACAGCTTCCGTCACACAAGCCGCGCTACGTTTGTATGAAATTACCATATTTGTCTTATTATACCATGGTGGACTTACATGGTGGAGTTCGAGACAGTCATGTATGTACTTACTGGGCCATAACCAATGGTCGGAAAAAGGCTCCACATATAGAGATACATGTATAGATATAGCTACAAAGCGCGACATAGAGTTGTTAAGACTCAAATAATAATTAATTACTTTTTTGAATTCCGGATTTCCGGAAATGGTTTTACTGCCTTGTTGCCGTTCCGTCAGTGTGCGCGGCCCGATGCGTATCTAAAACTGGGGAGGGGCGCAGAGTGACCATTATCGTTATTTTGGTAAAAGGTCAGTTAATCTTCTACATTTTTTACATGGTACCATTAGAATTATTTTAAAATCCAATTTCGAGTCATTGCTAAAACGTTAGTTAGTTTCGAGAATCCATTTTTCACCAATTTTCATAAACGTAAATTAATTTTAGTTGAATTTTCCTAAAATTTTTTTTATATAATATCAAGTGACGGCACGAACAAGTCGTACGCCTGATGGTTTATAGCTACACGCCTGTCCGTAACAGTTGCAGTGCCACTCAGAGCTTTAAATCGCAAAGATTTGAGGGGCACTGCCTCTGCGCCCGTCACCCTAAGACAAAGATGACAAGTCCCATGTGCCTATAATTTCACCAGCACCCTTACTCTTCTAAACCGGAACGCAGTAACATTACTACTTGGCGGCAGATATAGGTAAGGTGGTAGTACTTCGCTGGACGAACTCTTTCACAAGGAGTTCTAATGCTGCTAAAAATGATGAATAAAAACATAAAAATGATGTATAAATAGTTTTGAATTTCTTTTTTAAATTGTATACTTCTTATTTTGTATTATATACGTCAAATTTTTCGAGATTCAATACTTTATATTTTGTTTTATTCAAGTGTCGCCATCTACAGGTTTCAATATGTACTAAAGTTAAATTGAATGAATTGATAGCCCATGCTATTAATGTGCATATAATGTTGTTATATATAAAGCTACACACCATTTGACTAAAACTAGTCCTCACAGTAACAGGGAAATGCGAAACAACAATTGAAATATTTGCATTTTCATTTGTATTCTTCTCTGGTATGTTACGCAATATCGGGTCTACTTTGTAGAATGATATGTTTTTGTACGTAATTACTGAGGGTTGTTTAAATACTTCAGCAAATTCCTTGATTTTATCCAGTCTTATTGGTTCGTTTTCTCCACCTATATCATTATCTCCTGGTAACCAAACTATCTGAAATTAGACAAACAAAACATGTAATAATTAATAATAACGTATGCCAGACAACCACACCAGTTACCTGGTCTCAAACTAGAGAACGCCCTGTCCTGGGCCATTCCATAGTGACGGGTGGGACATTTTGACTCCTTTTTTCTTGAACTTTAAGTAATTTCTCCTTAACCATTAGTTAATTAGACTTAAAATGAAAATATCATGAAGCCAGATATGCAATTCAACTGCTACTATTTATTTACATAAATTTATGACATTATTTATACTTAAAACTTTTAATTTTCTAAGACGGGTGGGACATCCACAACACCCGCCTGTTTAAGTTGACGGCTTCATTGACAAAATCAAGACAAACTATTAATATTTTGTTCAGCAAGTTTTTCATATGTGATAACTTGAATGTTAAAGTTCTATTTTATATATACTTAATTAATACATGATTTTGTGTCATGATTTTGTGACGGGTGGGACGAGTTACAATTGAATACACAGAATTAATAAGCAAATATTTTATAATTTTTGTCTTATTACGACATTTTAACATAAAAAAAAACAGAATTAAAGAACTGATAAAGTATCTTATAATCTTGTAATCTTATATAAGTAATATTTTTCTTGAAACACTATCTATGACGACATGAAATCATAGACACGTATGTAAAATGCGTTAATAAACTTGAAAAATCCTGCCGCATCCTTGAATTATATATTTTTTTATATTACATAATCATGTATCATATCAAAATATATCAAATTTTAGAAATTTTGCTCGTATATATAGTTAAAACTAGTGGAGACAGACATTTCATGATACTAAAAATCATCAGAAAAAATGTTGTACTTTTTAATTATCTTTTTTTATGCGTTAAAATGTCTTAATTAACTACCTCCTTGGCCGAACGGTTACCATGCCGGACTGCCACGCAGAGGTCTCAGGTTCGATTCCCGGGCCGGAAGAAATATTTGTATGCCCTACATTTATTTCTCTCGTGAGTTTGGGTGTAATTTGTGGTTGTCTATGTGTGCGTCCATGGCACCCGCGACGCAGGGTTTCCCCAGTGCGGGGCTATGTTGAGTGTGTGCGTTATAATAATTATTATTATTAATTATGAGAAGAATTATTAATAATTTGCTTATAAGTGACGGATCTACATATAAAACGTGTATTTTTTTTAAATTTCACGTATTCAAATGTAACTGCCCTAAAACCTGACTTGTCACAAAATGGTGTCCCAATCGTCATAATTTAACACAATAAATGTTAACTCCGAAATTAAAGTAACTGTTAAACATCTTAGCAACCTAGTAAACATCGTAAAAACTCGAATCCATGAAAATACAAAAATTTAGTCAAAGTAAAAACTTTTAGAAGTGTGTCCCACCCATCGCTGTGACCGGTGGGACACAATTCCAAATCTTAATATTTAAATTCCTATTTACGTGCACAATGCCCAACCAAGCCCCCTGATGACCCCTAGCATAATAGCATAAATAGCATGGCCGAACGGTTGCCATGCCGGACTGCCGCGCAGAGGAGGTCCCGGGTTCGATTCCCGGGCCAGGAGAGATGTTTGTATGGCTTACATTTGTTTCTCTCGTGAGTTTGGGTGTAGTTTTTGGTTGTCTATGTGTGTGTCCGTGGCACCCGCGACACAGGATTTGCCTGGTGCGGGGCCATATTGAGTGTGTGCGTTATTTATTTATATTTTTATAATTGTTACTTTTACAAAAGCAAATGCCAATAGATTGCATATTTATTGGTTAACATAAAAATATATATGTTTCGTTATGACGGGTGGGACTTGAAATTAGCATTTATTGAAACTTTAATAACTCCTCACCATATATACTTCCATGCAATCACTTATCACTGTTTTGATATTCGTAAATTGTATTTTCTTCGACATTAATAACTTTTATAGAAAGACGCACAAACAACCGCGAAAATTGTTGCTAACATTATAGGAAAAATGCTTCACTCACTGTAGACAACAGCACTATGGCTGCGTCAATGAAGACAAAAAATACAATAATTGTACAATATCCGAAAAATGGGCGTATTCTAGTCATACAATTAAAACTAAATTGTGTAATTTATTTTTTTGAACCGCGGTGTCATTTTCGCTGGAATGACCCTACTATCAGTACCCGACTAACGAAATTCACAGCTTTCACAAATTCGGTCTTACCGGGAATCGAACTCCGGAACTGCTGATCCAGCGGACTTAGTGGAAATCAAAGAAAAAAACAATGGAAGGCCTTAAGCCTCGATTACTATCAAAACCGCTGTCACCAAAACTCACGTATTCATAATTTAAAACTCTATGAAATATTCATAATGACTGGTCGTAGCTTCTAATCTAAAAAGAAGTAACAAATTCTGGGCTGTTTATTTAATTTAAACTTTACCACGCTGGCATATCGTTGAAAGCGCAATACCTATTATTGCAAATTACCAATTATATTGAAATTTCAATCAATGTGCTGTCATCTAGCGGGCAATAGTTGAACGACTGCAAATTCGAGATGTTCACTTAGTTCTCAAAAAAGAGCGACTATAATGCAGCGGCAAGAGGATTACTTTCGTTTCTGGTACCAAAAACTTTATTACGATAAACAGAAAATTGAAAAGTTATTAAAATTAAATAAGACTTAATGATGTTATAAAACACAACCATAGATAATATTCCAAGCGCGATTATGATTTTTGCACTCTAAAGTAGCAAAGTAAGGCTTTTTCTACGATTTTCGAGGTTTTTAACTGGCTTCAGGAAAAGGAAGAAAATCTCAATTCGACTGTATGTTTTTTACTTTTTTTTCTCAATGTCTTTTGTTCGAATAAAAAAATGTAAATAATGTAAATAAAAACAATCTAACATACCGTAACTGGGTACTGTATGTCAAATATATTGAACAATCTCTTTGCATAGTTGTGGAATTGTGCAGTTGTTGATATGGAACCTTCATCCATGAGGTCTCCCATAAATACCAAGACATCAGGCAAGAAGGTGCGCATTACTACAGAAAACGTCGATTTCAAATATCTGAAAAGAATTTTTTTTTATTATTTATTGGGTATAAAAGTAATAGGGGGAAACTCTCAGTCTTCTGGGCCCAATGGATTATGTGAGACATAGAGGGCTTGTGAATGACGGGTGCAGAGCAGTGCCATTCGGATTTTTGCAATTTAAATCTCTAAGCGGAACTGCAACTGTTATGGACAGCCATGTCGCTTACTACCAGGTGTATGACATAAAATACATGTAATTATAAAAAAATATATTAAACTCATGGTAATTTTACACTTTATTGCAATGTACACACATTTTCAGTATTAACTGCCCTAAGCTTAAACGGAGTCCGTCAGGATGGCTGGACAAAACGAGATATACAAATCAAACTGTGCTCATTATTCACTCAAAATGGATTGGAACGAAGTATAGCACTTAAGTAGAACTATTGTGCTTGGGATCATTGAATTGGTCTTGAAGAGTTATTAACTTAATAAATTAAATTTTTTATCCAAAAACTAATATACTCCTGTACACATAATTCGAGCCGCCTCGCATTTTTGTTGTAAAGAGCTAGAATACAAAAATAGTATTATAAACAAAGAAAAAGTTTTCTGCAAATCCAAATTCCCAACAATGACTTTTGGAAAAGACATTTAGTACTGGATTCCAAATTGCATAATACTTTTTGATCAATCAATCATTTAGGCGAGTCCGTCAGGATGACTGGACCAAATGAGATACACAAATCAGACTGTGCTCATTATTTACTACCTATTTTCTACTATTTAGTACCTTTATTGACATATTTTCGACCTTTGCGCTAACAGAAATATTAAAGAAATAAAGTGGCCAGCCATTCTGACGTCAGTTTGGTTGGACCACTTTACGTTTTTCATGGTTCTAGCAGTACATAATTTACTTTTTAATATAACTATTTACTTCCTAATTTCTACCAACACATACTATTTTTCACTAGTTTAGGAAGTATCTATAAAAACTTATTTAGAGAAAAATAATAAAACGCCTTTGTATAAAGAATCTTCCAAAAAGACAGTTTATCTTCTCCGTGTAATTGCTAACAATACCTTTGCAGGCGCTTAGAATATGCTAACAATGGTTTCTGGATTATCTTTGCAACCAATATTTTATAACAATTATTATATTAATTACTAGTTGAATTCACTAGTACAAATGTTAATTCCATTTGTAGGTACGAATGCGAAAGAATTATAATCAGTTATTTGTCAATTACACGAAGAAGATAAACTGTCATTTTAGAAGGCACTTTTTGCAAAGGCGTTTTATTATTTTTTTAAATAACTTTTTATAGAAGCCTCCTAAAATAGTGAAAAAAAGTATGTTTATATATATATATATATATTGAAACATATATATATATATGTGTGTGTGTGTGTATGTTTTATAAAAAAAAATTATATACTGTTAGAACCATATTCTTTTTAATCCATTTTTTTTAATGAGGCTTTAGCCACCTTGAGTGCCTGTGTCAGCCTCATGGGAGAAATACGGGGTTCCCTATATATATAGGATAGGGACATGTTCAAAAACTTGTACAAGTTTAGAGCGCCAATACATACAGGCTCTCTGAGCCAATAATTAATTTGTCCATTGCATAAACTTACATTCCCAAACTTGTACCTCTCAGGGTTACGTTACGGTTACATTCCACCAATACATGGTACAGATCCTTTATTTTATTGCAAGTACTGCACAATGATGATGGTTTAAAACCCATCATATGAAAGAAGTTATCAATTTCAACTCAACTAATGAAAAAAAAAGCCTCCTAATAACTTAAGTTCATACCGCATCACCTTCACCCTTCGCACAGTTAAGAAGGGGCTCCTGTCGGATTGGAGTGTATACAGTGAAGTAACCTGGGGGTCTACTCTCGATCTCCGTCTGACATCCGTCCGAAATGTACTTGACCAAATGAAAAGACGCGTGATGCAAATGAAGCTTCATACTTGATACTTGTCTTTTAATTTTGTCGAATATTACTTATTTGACAGTAATTATTTCGGACGGATGTCGGACGGAGATCGAGAGCAGACCCCCTGTGCATCTCCGTTTTAGCAAAAAATCGACTTAAATACCAATTTCAGCTCTAGTGACTAAATCGTTCTCATTCATGTAAAGCAATCTATCTAAATCAGTATGAAGTAATAGTTTTATAAACTTTATTGTACATCAATTAAAAGGGATCTTTAAAATCCATGCACTTTTATAACGGTCCAGCATATTTTACACACGTCACAATTAAAAATGTATCCAAATATGTCGCTCTTATTCTTGTCTACTTTTAAGTCAAACATTTACTTGAAATATAACAATTAGATAGTGATAGTGGTGGTGGTGACGATGATTATGGTGGTGATGATGACGATCATGATTGTAACGATGATGACGATGATTGTGATGATGATGTGAATGGTAATGATGCTGATGATAATGGTGATCATGATGATGATGATGTTAATGGTGGCGATGATGATATATTGATGTACAACAAAGTTTATATGACATTAACAAAATACTTATTTAGATTTATTTATTAATTACATACAGATAGATAGATGGCCTTACACGGATGAGAATGATTTTGATACAAGAAGTTACATTAAAATATTCGTTACATGTTAAATGTTGTTAAAAGTTCTTTTGTAAGCGATAAAATGTGTGCTGTAATAATAATTACTCCTTACTGTACCGTCGTTCTCATTTATGTTTATGACAAAATCATTCGTGTTACTGAAATCTCATCCGTGTGACCTAAAATATCGTTTTTTGTTGTATTTAACTTAAATATTTCTGTGATTTTATGATTATTGACATTGCTTGAACTTATTTGTACGTTTAAGACCTTAAAACCAAAAGAAAATAGAGTTGTACAAAAATCATTCAAATAGTGCCATTGAAATTCAGAAAGTGAAATTCACCCGGATGCTCTTTTACTATTGCTGAATTCAAAAATGCCTCTGCTTCATCGATTGTTTTGAATTTAATAAAGCATCATATGGGTTCTTGTGAGTCACTTTAAGAACTTCAAGGATCCGCTGCTCAAAATCTTTGCCATCCTAATTGCTTAGGAAGGACATCCTTGCTGCTAACAGACATCTTACATTCATTTGTTCTATTTATGGCATTTTGTGGGGAGCATGATCGACGCACATGTCTACGCTTACTTCCAGTGACCCTAATGAATCCTTCTTCTTCATCAATACTTGACTCCTCCCTTTGTCTTTTTTGCTCCTAAGGATTGGTCAGCGGCCTCATCCGTAACCTCTACATTCACATCAAAGTTGTCCCATTCCAAATCAGTTGGTCTACAAGGAGATGAGTCCCTTATTATTCTCCTGCCTGAAGCAGGAGACAGGACCAGATTCGGTTTTGGAGCATGAACCGTATCTTGCTCTGAATCACTCATGTCCACATAGTGTGGGTAGAATATAAAAAGTCACTATGTTTAAATTAAAACTTATTTACACTAAATAACACTAATACTAAAAAAACAAAACCTATTGTAAAATCCATTTAAATGTTATTACTTCCACTTAACACCATAACACAATTGCAAGAGTAAATAAAAAACAACTTTTGAGACTGTGCTAGAACCATGAAGAACATAAAGGGGTCCAGCCAACCTGACGTCAGAATGGCTGGCCACTTTATTTCTTTAATATTTCCATTAGCGCAGACGTAGAAAATATGCCAATAAAGGTACTAAATAGTAGAAAATAGGTAGTAAATAATGAGCACAGTCTGATTTCTATTATACTATAGTATTATACTATAGTATCTCATTTGGTCCAGCCATCCTGACAGACTCGCCTAAACAATGATTGATTGATCAAAAAGTATTATGCAATTTGGAATCCAGTACTAAACGTCTTTTCTAAAAGTCATTCTTGGGAATTTGGATTTGCAAAACCAGGGGAAAACTTTTTCTGTGTTTATAATACTATTTTTGTATTCTAGCCCTTTACAACAAAAATGCGAGGTGGCTCGAATTATGTGTAAGGAGTATATTAGTTTTTGGATAAAAAATTTAATTTATTAAGTTAATAACTCTTCAAGACCAATTCAATGATCCCAAGCACATTAGTTCTACTTAAGTGCTATACTTCGTTCCAATCCATTTCGAACAAAAAGTACACAAACAAGTCACTGACTCCACCATAGACGGTTTAGAGGTGGCCAATTGTAACGCCAACTACAAATCAATTAATTAATTTAATGAATCGATTTCTTCAATTGAGTCATACTAGTGGTTTTCCTTACATAACCTAATTTAAAATTTCAATTTAAGTCCTCCTTCAAATCCTTACACTTAGGTACTCATTTGATTGCAATTGAAGTGTTCAATTTAATAATCGATTACTAAACTTTAATTGATTGAACCGAATGTTTTTTTCGAACAGCACTATGCAACCATAGGCAAGTCATAGAAGTATAGATGAATAATAACCTCACTTTTGGACTACCATTTTTCAAAAACGATTTTACGATACTATTCAAATGAATATTGTTGGAAAAACTGATGATATATCAAGTCAAAATCTTCGAAATATATGTGAAAGTGTTACTTATTCAATTTATTGAGTGATTGCTTTAGAATTTTAACAAAACAGGTTTGTTTACTTTTTGTTCAAAATCGATTGGAACAGATTTTAGACAAGTTGGGTACTCTCCAGAAAGTCCTAAATCAAGTCTACGGAAACAAATAAAAGAACTGATTATCTTTCAACAGCTGAACATGTTTCATACTTAAAAATTCCTCTCTATTTGCGTCGGGAGTTTAAAAAAGGAATGTATGGTAGTGTGTTCAGAGCTGAATACACCATGTAGTTTTTAACAGTGTTAAGCGATGTTTTACTTACTGGTCGCTATCCCAATTGACCAAATAACTCAAAGGTGGCGGGAGCGCCGTATCCCCTTGAATTTGAGGATCGGCAATGAATAATATTTTGGTGCAGGACAAGTCGAATTCGCGGCATTTTAAGGTATACCAGTACCTAGACTGTACTTCATAAACAATCCATTCTGTGTAGATTAGAGCGCCTACAATCGCAGCTACCAGGTATTTTAAGAGTATACTGGAATGAAAAGTAAATAATGACTTTTGTTTTCATTGTTCTCAACTTTAACATTAATCAAATTATATAACTATTGGCGTTTTATTGTCTTACCTCCTTCTAAAAACCATGAGTAGTGTTTACAGGGCTAACAATGAAGTTAAAAATACATTAGAATTAAATTTTTACAAATCATTTTATCGTATTTCAAGATAGACTTCGATTCGAACGTGATAAAAAAATGTTGCATGTTTCGCACTTTTGCAGTTGCTATGAAGAATTTATTGATATATCAAAACAAGACAAGAGATCCCATTTTAGTTTAGTTTTTGTTTCATTTACTCGCATAACGTAAGAAAAATTTGTAGTAAAGAAACAATTCAAACAGTCCATTTGACTGCGTTCCGATTCATTCACATAAATTATTAAGTAGTTTTAAGGCGAATTGCTTGTTGCCAAAATTAAATAAATTAAAAAAGAAACTGCGTTCCGGAAAAGTGGCGGGTTTTTGTACGGTTTTTTTAACCGACTTCAAAAAAAGGAGGAAGTTCTCAATTCGATTGCGTTTTTTTGTATGTATGTTAAGCGATAACTCCGGTATTTGTGAACCAATTGTCATGATTCTTTTTTTGTTGGAAAGAGGGTACCCACATAGTGGTTCCATTTAAATTTGAAGACAATCATTCACCTCTAAGAAAGGCTGTTCTCGCATGAAGATTCATTTTTATAAATAGCGACTAAATTTTATATAAGGAGCAATTATTTTAATGGTTGATTTTGCTATTCTCCAGCTTAAGGCGTTTTTCTCGCTCTTGAGTACTGAAAACCGATTTTTATTATCTCCTGCGTCAAGTCCTGTATAGTCGAATCAGGGTTTGCGCACTTTCCGGTAACCGATTTCAATAATACTTGGTAATTATATGTCATTCCACGTACTTTTGTCGTCGGTTTTTTTAATACTCTGTACTGAGGTTATGTGGTCACGTTTTTACACGATTTACTGTTTGTTACATTAAATAGAATATAATATACTATTTTTTTATTATTAATCCCAAGCAATATTTTATTTATTTACTGAGCTTTAAAGCTAAAGCTCAGTAAATAAATAAAATTTCGTACCATTGCGGCTAATTTATAGAGTAAATAGCTGACTTTGGTTAGTAGCACTGGCACACCATAGATGGAAAAATAAACTCCCGGACACATAATTTGAGTCACCTTACATTTTTATTCTTAAAGAGCAAAAATATAAATAATAGTTATCGTCGAAGAAAAATATTTCTCCGGTTTTTTAAATACAAATTTTCAATAAGGACTTGAGGAAATAACGTTTAGTATACCAATTTCAAAGTTGCTTATTACTTCTTGATCAATCAAACATTGTTTAAGCTAAGGGCATTTAATATTGAAAATGCTAGGTGGCTCGAATTACGTGTCCGGGAGTATATAAAGGTAGCACCTTGGCTCACCAACACTGGTATGTGGTACACATACAAACCCTATCTATCTATTATATAGTATGAAATACTAAATCTGTGGTATGAGTCTGAACAGTATGATCCAGTGTAGACTTGTTCGGTCGATCATTTTTGATAACCCGTCGATCGGTCAATCATGCATGCATGACCCATGCGTAACGTGATCCGGTCTAATGATTCGATCATATGTTCGATCTTTTATCGCGTCATTCGTCGCTCACGATACTTACATCCTGCTGATGAGTAATGTATATAAAGTTAAATGCATCATTGATAAACCACACTTAGGACACTAAAACACTAAATTTATTTCTAAGAAAAGTAACACCTGCCAAACAAAAATGTATAACAAAAACTTATATGAGCATTCAAAATTACTAATTTAGTATTCATTAATATTAGCTAGTGCACTCATAAATAATCACAACATACCAAAAAATCGATTAAACTTACAAAATTACCATGTAATGGACACTACGCCACGGAGCAATTAGGATGAATGATTAATAGAGTCATTAATCCGTTGATCCGTTAACCCATGGGAACTTCACGTGAGAGTGAACGAGACAACAATAATATTGTCAGTTCCAGACTGAGTGTTATGATAATTGTTGAATAATCTCTAAAATTATAGTGAATAAAGTCGAATATTGCGCGCGTGACCTATAAAACTCTAAAATGATCAGAAGCTTGTAACCTGGGTTATCGGGTCACAGGTACTGTTCGAATCATTGTGATCGATCGATCATGATCGACGCAAGTCTATTCCAGTGATCACATCGTTCTATTGATCAGTATTTTATTTATTTATTGAGCATTGGTTATAGAGGCATCAGTTTAAAAAGGTAACAAATAATTAAGAAACATAAAACGTAATACTTACAACTAAAAATGAATTCGTGTAAAAACTATAACTACAAAAAAAAGACAGACATTGATCCACTTAATGGCATGTTTCTGTCCCTCGTGAACGTGAAATGAATTCCTTACCCAAACGATAAAAAGAAGTTGTTTAAACTTATGAACGAACTGAGTTTTCTGATTTAACAAACATTCATTCACCTTTTTATACCTATGCCATCACAAATACGTTGTACCGCTAGTGTGTTTGCCAACGCTCATAATGGAGGTTTTTTTCAGTTACTATGCGAATAATAGCGACTTCCCCGATGCACTGAATGAATGCCAGCTATACTGAATGAATAGCCTGTGTTACCGTTAGTAGCTGGCAGTGCCGGCTTTACATAAGGTGTAAGATGTGCGGCGCACACAGACGCAGGTGTTAGACGGAAGGAATCCCGAGTCAATCCAAGCACGCCGCCTCAAATTGCCTATCCTCTATGTGGCGGCCATATTTACAGAAACATATTTAAGCTTCATGTTTAGGCTGATGGCTTTGCCAAAGCCTTAATAAATTAAATAAAAAAAATGTACAGAGAAAACTAAAGACTACTTATGCGATTTAATGTAAAAATAACACATGTACTGAACTAGGAAATTCGTGTATTTCAGGTAAAAAGTACTACTAATTATAAACGTGGATACTATTAATATTATAAATACTTTTTAGGAGAATATTATGAAATAATATTAAACAATTAAACAATAAATTGCCAATCAAAAAAATGTACACTTAAACAAGACAACATTTGCCTACTATATCTTTCTAATTTGTGCGCCAATGCTTACCAGCGCAGTCATTCATGCACCAGCCACTGCACTGTATCAATGGAATAGCCATTATTTCTTGGCTCTAAAGGTTAATAATATATTTCATCGTCATATGAAATAAAAAATTTAGAGACGTTTGTTTAGAAAACATAATTGGAAATAAGCTAAGCATAAGCTAATAGAGAAACATCTACAACATTTTAAAGACAAAATTGATGACTTTTGTGGCTTTTGCGTAATATGTAACGACTACGATGTGTGACAGCTTGGTTGCGTTCGTATTTTTTTGATAACCCTCTCAAAGCAATTTATAAAATAAATTATTAAGATCATTGAGTACAAAGAAAGAAGTATACAAGTTATGCTTCAAACAAAAGCCTTCTAAAAATGCAGTTTCGTAATTTTATAAACAGGCTTTGTTTCCAGTGTACCTAATTTATACAGAAAAGAAACTGCAATGCGATCAACAAATTTTTCGTTGAATGCTTCTCTACTGCGGCGCTTTGACAGGTCAGCGAGCCACTTTTTAGCTTGCCGTGTAGTTTATTTTAATTTTATTTGGTATTAACCTTGCGTTTATTCGTTGTAAATATTATATACGTAGACTTATCATTAGCGTAATTGTCCTCTTAGATTGTACGGAAGTGCACTTGCAGTGTTACATAAACTGTAGACTGAATCGTGACGGCGATTTCGATGCATATAACTACATAGTACGTCAGTGAATGAATGGTGGCTATAAGATAATGGATGTGGATGCTCCTAACATATTGAAGAGGTGCAGTAGCGCACCTTTGATAAATGAGGGCTCCTCTACGGCGGTGACGTCGCCCACAACAACTACAGCGCCGAGGTAAAGTAACACGCATGTTTGTGCAGAGCTATGGTCGTGCCTGTGCTGCCACTGCCTATTTTTGACAGCTGCTGAGATCGCGAGTGGGAGCCGTGCCCGTATTTAACTATGTTTATGCATTATTCAGTAATATTTCCATCTTTGTTAATCTGTGTGCGTGGAAGGAATGTTAGGAATGACTTCCTTTTGCTATTGTTTTGCCATTTGACAAACGAGATGCTTAGTATCCAGTAGTTGTATGTTATTTTGGTAGTTTTTTATAAACATTGTTACATTTAATTTATTTTAGTCGGTTACTATAGGAACTCATTTTTTTTTCCTATTTATATAAGCATTAATTTATTTACAAAAATTTTCTGCTTATTTGGTAACCACTTTTCAGTTCAACTTTATAACATTCTTCATATCATTGGTGTTCTTTTTACGCTTGTATGTCCTCATAACCATATGTTTGCATAAAATATGTAAAGCTGTATAACTGTGTGTAACTTGTAAGTGATAATTAAGTTCACCTACACACATAATTCTTTGCAAATGGAATTATTTCTAAGGATTCATCTATTGATACTTGAATCACTGACTCTTTTGTGTTACACTAAATTATAATTGGGTCAATTGTCATATAAACCATTACGGAATGTGTAATTTGTGCAAATGTTACAAAAACAGTTTCAACCCACTTTCATATGAAGTATTCACTTGAAATTTTGCCAACTTGCTGAATAGGCACACTAAACACATGTATATTTTAAAGAATAGGTATGTGCAGTATTAGGCATCTTCTTGTTGATGATGATCCAGCCATTACATTTACATTTAACGACAAATGCTTGGCAACATGAAAAACACAAACCTATATGTTGAATAATGTTTAAAACAGTGTATTCATCATCCCACACTAGTCTATAATTAAATTTCCCTCCTTGAAAGTTTATTTTTTTTTGTTGAACTCATACCAAGCACTGTTTATATAAAGGTGAAGGTTTTAGAAACAAAATTAAATCTTTAAAACAGATTTGGTATACAAACTTAATTTCAAAATTGTAATAATACAAGGTACAAAAGATTATTTTCAAAATCCCCTGATCGTCCTAGCCTATGGGATTTAGGGGAATTATTAAATTGCGTTAGTGTCAAGACTCTGAATGTCAACACAAAGAGTAAAATCTTCTAGTTAGCTTTTTTTATATCGTCTAACCTTAATCGCATTTCCCCGATCCTTTCTTCCGAATTGCCTTCACAACTGCCTCTGTGGCCGAGTGGTTACCATGCCGGACTGCCACGCAGAGGTCCCAGGTTCGATTCCCGGGCCGGGAGAAATATTTGTATGGCCTACATTTATTTCTCTCGTGAGTTTGGGTGTAATTTGTGGTTGTCTATGTGTGTCCATGGCACCCGCGACACAGGGTTTCCCTAGTGCGGGGCTATGTTGAGTGTGTGCGTTATTATTAAAAAAAAAAAAAAAAAAAAAAAATTATTTTTCCTCTCCATTGCTTTCCGCAAATAAGTTTCCCCCTTTTGCCAGAAACAAAAGAAACTAGAAATCAAGGAATATTTTTCCCAAATTTGCCACCAGGGGCACTGTCAGAGCGGTTTTCAGTAATAATCTACGTAACATATTTGCAAATGAATAATGTGTGCATATACTGTTACAAAAGTATTGTTGCTTGCTCCATGCTGGTACGTAATATAAATATTTGGTTACATGACTTAACAATTCTTTATCTTTACCATGATAGCATGGCTGCGAATGATATCTATCACACAAATGTTATTTTTCTAGATTGCATATGGAGTTAACATATACTAATATGCTATTTAAAAAGCAACCCACTTAATTTCTGGCTTGGCTCAGATAAACTCTTATAAATTTTAAATTTTTTTTTATGATTTAAAATTCATAGCAAAAAGGTTGAAAATATGATCTTACTGGATGTTATAGCTACGTGTTTGCATGAGAAGCACCAAGTCCAATTCTCCGTATGCCTAGCTGACCATTAATGTGGTTTTTATGAACACAAATACAAAATAATTTTGCGTTTGCATTATTAATATATATTTAGTTTTATGGTATTGTTCCAGCTTTCACAATGAATTGTTTAATCACCATTCTATTTGCAATTGTAAACAATGTAACTGCATTTTAACAATAACAGCTAATGTAAAAAACATAGAAAATTGGATTTGCTTATTTGTTTGACATGAACGACATGTCTATGATGTTGATACCTACTAACAACTTTTGTTATATAAGGTTTTATTTTGTTATATAAACCTTTGAAATTTATTATCACAAAATTGTGATAATAAATTTCAATGGTTTGAATGGTTAATTAGTCTTGTACAGGGGTTTTTTATAGGGGTTATTTCTGGACGTGGTTTTCCTTTAAGTTTAAACCAAAATCTGCTTCTATATAGCCCAGTGTGGGCTATATATAAAATATAATCTTGATAATTAAATCGCAATGTCGTGCCCTATGTTTGTATCAGAAACTTATCCGAATGTGTCAAATGTGAATCTCAAAAAAATAAGTCAATCTAAATTGTTTTCCCAGAGGTTTTTCTTCATGTTTATTTAGTTTGTAATGTTTTGACAATAAATTGAATTCCCTCTAAATGGGGTAACTAACCAAGTCCATATAAGTCTCTGGAAGGAGAGATACCCCACGACATCACTCATTCTGCTGTCAGAGCGCATCCTTTCTGAGCATCATCTACCTTGACAAACTTTGAAGTCTCTAAATAGATTACAGACCCAAGTTGTCCGAAGCAAGGCGAGCATGCACAGGTGGGGTTACTGCTCAGAGAGCGCATGTATTTATGGTGTTTCTCCAGAATATGGCACATCTTTTGTTTTGTCCTGCGTGCTCCTACCCCTGCACATGCGAGGACCTGTACAACGCCACTGATAATGCTGTGTCACTTGAATACTGGTCCTCACAAATGAAGAATAAATTAAAGAGTCAAAACCATGGTTCAGCAGAGATAATTATCAAAGAAAATAAATGTCTTCATACAAACCTTGGTTGTGTAAACCAATTTAATGCAAACGTTCTAGGTTCTAGGGTGTAATTAGCGGGGATTATAATAGATCAATTACTGATGGTAGTGATGACGGCCTGTACAGGCCCTAAATATTGTACTGTAATTTTACTGTAATATTAAAAAATATGACCTACTTTTGGACCTTACCGTGAACTCTTATTATGATTAGATTTGGACCTGAAAAGAATCTTGTGAGACAGCACTATACTGAACTGTAAGGTAAAGGTAAGGCTGATTGTCAGGCACGTTTATTATTATTATCCCTCAGATTGGTAGTAAGCTGTCCAAGCAAACCTGGCTTTACAAATTCTGCAATTTCTGTTTAATTGAAAATACTTTCTATACTTAATTTTCTTCTTAGCGTGCCGACTCTGGCGTTTATATTGTGAGAACCAGGACCATACTTCAATGAATCCCTTTGTGGTTTTCGCGATTGTTACACGTAAGAAATGAAACTATTTGTTTGGATTAAAATCGCGTGTACTTATATTTTTTCAAATAAACCAAACAAAAGTAAAAAATAGATGTACTTGTTGATGACTTTACCATCTTATTATTGAGATTTTTTTGTGAAATGGCTCCATTAGTTTTTCTATTGTTATTGATACAAAGATAGAGAGAAGAGAATATATAGAAAAACAAATTTGACCCAATGGGGCTTGAACCCATGCCACGCTGTATTGTAGCTCTGCTCTAACCAACTGAGTTACAGGTCAAGTTATTGAGTTGTCGAAATTGTCCTGTGTTTTTGTTATAGACCTTAGTACATGATTTTTCGGCATGCAGCGCCCTCTATTCCATTTAGTTCAACTACAAGTTCAATTAGTTGAACTAATTGGACACAAATATTCCAATTAGTTCAACTAGGTACAACTTTTCAAAAAGTTGAAGTTATTGGATGAAATCATACTGTTAGTTAACCTTCAATTATTTAAATAATAGTTCAACTAGTGGCATTTAGTAAGATATTTTTTAGAACCTGATCATTTACCATCTTAGTCAGCCGTGACCAAGGGACCTGGAAAAACGAAATTGTGGTTTATTTTAAAAAACAAATATACGCGATTTAGATCTGAAAAAATAGTTTCATCTTCTGTTTATTATTAGTAATTGTTTAATAATTTATCTTCTCATTTGCGGCATCACACAATACAGCAAATAATAGCGGCGGATTAGTTTTTATGGAATAAACGTTGTAGAATCTGCTTGCGGCTTTTTCACTGAATCTGCGTCAACCTTGCAAAAGATGCTTACAATTATATTGAATTTAAAAAAACTTGAAACTCTATCAAGCTCTCCAAGTTTACATTAACAAATTTATTTATAAACATGAAATGATATTACAGTGAACAATTGCTGTTGGTTTATTATTGCACAATAATGTATGCATCATCTCCATTGCTTACACTTTTTGTCATAGTGTATTTTGTAAGCTGTCATATGCTTACTTTCATATCATACAGTAGTGGTGCTAGTGAATTTAGTTTTGTCTGTACTTTTCGGGAATATTTCTGATGACCTGGTATTATAATTTTAACTGCACTTACGATCTCCATATACCTACCAAAGATGGCACATATTGTAGAAATTACACGCGTAAATTGTGTATAGAAACGCGGTGACCTACGAGCTTAGTGTGTGTTGTTAGGCTTTAGTGAATGTGATCAGAGATGGGCAAGTGCCCGGGTTTTTATTCTGCGCTTTATTGACGCCGAGTTTTAATCGTGTTAAAACTCATTAATGCCCAAAGTTGAGGGCAAAATCTATTTATAACTAAATATACTTATGTAAATTGTGTTTTGTTCAAATGTTATTATTATTAAAAAATATTTATTGCTTGCTCACATATTTTGCCTTTGTAACTAATCGATTCGTTTGAAAAGCGCATTGAAATGAATCGATACAAAAACTCAAAATCGATTTTCATATTAATGGAATTGCATGCCTAGTAGTACCTGAGAGTCCACAGGATTGCAAAGGGGATATTGTGTGGAGTTGCCTCTTTTTCGTCTAACAAAGATTTCGTAATTTGTAATTATAATACGCGGAATTAAAAATTAGCAGAAATGGGTTAAAACCTTTAGGTAAAAATCCAGATTAAACCCAAGCTGATAACGATCAACTAACAAGATTCAAATAGGTACTAGTCCTATACAATGGAGATGAATGATATTAGTCTTCACTTCATAGTGGCCAACAGTTAAACACGAAATAGTTTTAAATATAAACATTTATAATTTCTTTTTCAAACCATCCACCGTTTCGGGGTCTTTTTCCTATATGTAACAATCGCGAAAACTAGAACTCGATAGTTGTTAATACGATTTATTTTGCTTTGTGCTCATGCCCTTAATAAAGTGGTTATAGTTGTCGATGCTATATCGGTAGTTCACCTTACAAATTGTCGCTATTTCACGGGCTGCTCTCCTGTAGGGCTAGCACAATAGGGCGCGACTAGCGCGAGAGCGACATAAAGCGCGAGATACTGCTATTCTCGCATAGAGATCTCGCGCTGTATGTCGCTCTCGCGCAAGTCGCGCTTGTTTGTGCTAACCCTACTAGTGTCCAGCTTGCCCTAAGGCTTTCATCAAGGAAACTTGGTTTCGAAAATTACTCGAGGTTGTTTTCAGTTCAGTCTCGGGAATATCAGGTCTTTTGAGACTTAAGTCGCTTAATTAGACACTATAACGCCAAGCCTATGTCCAGTCAGTTCAGTGTATCCTATTTGATTGTGAAATTATCTTTTACATCACCCTTGTACGTAAATAGCATAATTAATCTAATGTGACTATAATGCCCCAAATAAAACCCTCGGGCATTTTTATTCTTATTGCCGACCATGGATGTAATCAGAAGATTAAAGGCCCGAGGGTAGCCTGCATACAATCATACTATTTACGTGCAAGTGTGATGATAAACTTTATATATTTCACGAATAGAGTCTCGTTCGTTATTCATTATTTATCTCACTTAATACATATTTCCATTTGGATAATTACATAAATCAACAGGACTAGCACCACACGCCGCGGTCTATCGTGCTAGCATTGCTGTACAAGATTTGCTCATTTTTACATGTTTTTTTTTTTTCATACAGCTCTTATCAGCTTTTAACATTATTGTTTCAGGAACACGCCGTTCTTTAGCATGTTCTCGAACAACAACCTGTCGCGCACACGCAGGTACAGTCACGGCGGCGGCAGTTCCAGCCCGCTCGCAGCGCCAGTATCTGTGAGTTTAATTTTCTTTATAACGGCCTGGTTATACGGTCGAGCTGTTCATAGTAAAACGGTGCACCAGTGCAAGCCGTTTACAAAGGATGACATTTCCCTTTACAAATACGCATATGCACATTCAAACGCGTACATTATTTCCATAGATAGACCGTGTAAAAGGGACTTAACAAATTGGATATGGAACGCACGTTGCTACGATTTACAATTATAAACTAATTTCCTTTACTGATAATACGACCATTGATGCCAAAATTCAACGGCAACGCCGCAATTAAAGGCTCCAAAGGTTATGGTCAGCTTTTACCTACTATATCCATGGCGAGAAGCACTGTAGGTGGACGGTGAAAATAACGTCGTATCGAGGGCGCAATTAATAATCGCAAATCAACTTGTTTTGAAGTGCAAGAACAGTACAAAACGCGTGCCCGTGGCATGCAGTCGTTAAGGTAACTAGCATTTCAATAAACATAAAAGTCGTGACATTTAAATGAAAATGTTATAAGAGGAATGTACCGCGATTTTTTTTATTCATAACTTTTTTGTGGTAACTCAAATTGTGTAGAAGTAGACATTTAAAAATTAAATGTAGTTTCACTGTGACTGGTCAAATATTAGGCATACAAACATATAGAAGACATTATCGTCTATTTACGAGTACAAACATATGATAGTACCATATCAAACGAACTGTCACACAAATAATGATGCCATGGAACAACATTTCCCTCAAAAGTGGGGAAATTGTATCTTGCTTAACTCATCATTAAGTTAAAGGCCTACAGATTTGCCCGACATTGTCGATCAGGTGCCTACAGATTTACTTGATTTTGTCGATCGACAATATCGATCAGGTGTGTACAGATCGACAATGTCAAGTGACAAGAATTTTCAAAAATTTATTTTTGGTAATCCTTATGGAAATGGCATTTATATCTGTATACAGGATGGTGGACACGACTTTTCAAAAATTATAGTATAGTATAGAGTATTCGTAATGAGCACCCCCAAATACCTCGAAAACGATACCCATATTGCATTTTTTTTGAAAAATCGTGTCCGCCATCTTGGTTTCAGAAATAAGTGCTATATTCGTAATGAGCACCCCCAAATACCACGTAAACGATACCCGGAATCAAAATCAAAATAATCTTTATTTCATAGGTAAGCATTATTACACTTGAAATCGTCACATTCGTTAAACTCTATCGCTCATTCGTAAGGCAGATTCCCCCGAGAAGTATGAAGCAAGAAATTCTGCAACCATCGCGATATTGCTTATTCTCAAAAAATTACGTAACATAATTATTTTGAAACAGAATAGCAAAATGGGGAGAAAGAAATCTGTTACTTTGCAATATTTTCGTGTATTGTTGCAACGAAATTAATTTTCGGTTTTAGTGAATATTTATATAAAAATACAAGTTGAAACGCGTTACTTCCTTGTGGAATGTGACGTTAGTATCTATTTTATGTTTGTCTGATGTATTTTTACACTCATTTATTGTCATTATTAGCTAAAATGCTTGAGCTTGAGCGTTGACGGCTCGCCCGGTCGTGTAGGTCCATTGGGATCGCTACAATTTGCCTCACTTAGGGGTAAATTTCACTTAAGAATTTCTATGGCACTTTTTGAGTGATTTTTATAAAACCCTTTTTTCTTTTGGTTTTAAGGTCTTAAACGTACAAATAAGTTCAAGCAATGTCAATAATTATAAAATCACAGAAATATTTAAGTTAAATACAACAAAAAACGATATTTTAGGTCACACGAATGAGATTGCAGTAACACGAATGATTTTCTCATAAACATGAATGAGAAAGACGGCATAGTAATGAGAAATCATTATTACAACACACATTTTATCGTTCTCAAAAAAACATTTAACATGTAACAAATATTTTAATATAACTTCTTGTATCAAAATCCTTCTCATCCGTGTAAGACCATCTATCTATCTATATGTAATTAATAAATAAATCTAAAAAAGTATTTTGTTAATGTCATATAAACTTTCTTGTACATCAATATATCCTCATCACCACCATCAACGTCATCATCATGATCTCCCTTATTATCAGCATCATTACCATTCACATCATCATCACAATCATCGTCATCATCATCGTCATCATCATCACCATCATCGTCATCGTCACAACCCTAAACACCACCACTATCACCATCTAATTGTTATATTTCAAGTAAATGTTTGGCTTAAAGTAACTATTTGACTTAAAAGCAGACAAGAATGAGAGCGACGAATGACGAGCAATAATGATATTTGGATACATTTTTAATTGTCAAGTGTGTAAAATATGCTGGACCGTTATGAAAGTGCATAGATTTTAACGTTCCCATTGTGAATTGATGTACAATAAAGTTTATAAAACTATTACTTAATACTTATTTAGATAGATTGCTTTACACGAATGAGAACGATTTAGTCACTAGCGCTGAAGTTGGTATTTAAGTCGATTTTTTGCTAAAACGGAGATGCACAGGTTACTTCACTGTGTACACTTCAATCCGAACGGAGCCCCTAATTCACGTGTGCGAAGGGTGATGCGGTATGAACTTTTGTTATTAGGTGGCTTTTAGTTGAATTGACACTAATGATAAGAAAAATTGAAACACATTTTGTATTATTTGTTTATATAAATTGGAAAGTTACGGTATGTATTCAACGTGTAAGTTATTAGAGTTTATCCTCGACGGGAAATATTGCGATTTCTTCGAGTGCTTAATTTTTTCTTCTTTTCTTAAAATTAGGGCGAAGTGGAACCGGCTCCCATGAATGAGAAATTGCCAACTTTGTTAATTTTTATTTATTAATGTGACGTAGTAAAGTAGTCTTTTTATGTGTAACACAGACTAAGTAAGCATGCAATCATATTAAAGAAATAATGCTTAGCATTTATGTAATAAGATAAAAGTTATTGAAAGGGACACATTTTTGGAGTTTATCTGAAAACGACCCTTAGCGTGTACGGACTAGGTTTCTATGCGTTATTATTCTAAGGGTATAACATGCTTTTTTAAAAATTATATTTCAAATTCTAAGGGCGGGTAATTATTGATCTTACAAACTTGTTCATAATTTAAACGCTGCAAGTTCTAGTAGTAAATTGGCCACACTGTCAGAACTTAGATATTAATTGTTTTTTTCAATATTTTAATTGCCTGACATTTTTTCGCGGGAAATCGTATCTTTACGTTGGCCATTTTGAAAATAACTAATTATTTCAAAATGCAAATAAATGTCAAGTGTAAAGAGGTGCAATATTATGAGTTTTTTGTATTATGTTTATTTCATGACCTTGGATCCAAGTACTTGTCGAAATATTTTTTTTTCTTCTTGGGTTTTTCTGGTTAGCGATTCACAGTTTTCCCACGTTATAAACATAGAAAGTAATTAAAGTATGAAATTACCATTCTATATTTTAATTCCAACAAAAATAAAGTTTTAGAAAATAACATTTACTCAATCAAAATAATTTGCACCCTTTTGATAGCACTATCAATCAAAAAACCATTATTATGCTTTATTGCAGGAAACTTATTTTTTCCTTTGCCTTAGAATAGTGTGAATAGATACTCAAGAATTAATAATTAATGTTAGGATTCAAGCAATGATTCCCGTTCATATGGAGAAGAATCCGACGATTCATTATAATAAACAAGAAAAATTTATTATAATTGTTTATAAGTTATTTCATTTCATTATAATCCATGGCACCCGCGACACATGGTTTCTCTAGGGCGGGGCTATGTTGAGTGTGTGCGTTATTTATTATCTTATTATTATTAATAAAAACCTCGTAGTGAATTATTTTAATAACAGAATATCGATAATATGTACGCTTCCAAGAACAACGCTATGTCAAAATAATGTTAACAACAATCATCAAAATATACAAACAAACAGGCAATCTGAAGATACCAAAGCAAAATTTGGCAAGATTTATGAATAAACTACTTAAATATGTCTAATTACATGAAATATTTGGGCTTCTGTGTGATTTATAGACAGAAAAATGACACGTGCCTGTACAATGTTACATTCGGTCGATCTTCGCTTTTTCAAATGCCACAGCCCGTAATGCTGCAGCGACGAATTTTTATTAATACTTAATTGTTCTCACTGTCAATATTTTTGTCCATTTTATTACAATACATGCGAATAATTCGTTTTATTGAACTTGGAAAAACATTTGTTTTGACATTTGATTTCCCTTTGACAACCGTATCATGTACCTCATGTACTGCGAAATGGACACGGTTGGCATTTAAGATGACGTTACGTTTTTTCGATTGCCGTATTTGACACAGACCAATGTAATGCTATCTCTTTTGGCTTAAGACGGCACGCAAGAGTTAAACAAAGACAATAACATGTTTATGTTTTCAATGTCGAAATGCATCATATACATATAATATCTGATTTATATATGTCAACATAACATGTCCTTTAGTTTCTATAGTCTAAGCTTAAATCCAACTCTATGCCGCTTACGATAAGAACGGTCCAAAGTACAGTGTCAAATTTGACGGTACCAAAATTTATCAACTTGAATAATCTTCGATACACTATTTGTTGGCTCGATAAATATCGGACCTAAAGAGTACGTCGCTTCACTAAAATTAAAAAATAAAAGAATTCAAGAAGTATTGCATTTTTAGTCTGTATGTTTTATATCTGTATGACAGTAATTATTGACTTCTGAACTTCGGAACTTCGGAGGCATGCAAATATCAAAAGTCAAATAAAAAAAAGGACGGAGTATAGTCGTACTATGTAAAAAATTAAATTATATTTAAATAAAGTTGTTCACATATAGTACAATTATATATATATATTATATATTATATAGTACGATTAACTGTTGTTCGCGACTTTATTAACGTTACGACGACAAACTGCCAAGACAATGGAAAGAGCTAGAATTACTATCGTCAGACGATACATAAAACGTCAGTCAATTATTAAAAATAAA